GAGAAGGAGAAAGTACGAGTGGAAGCAGAACCGTACAAACCCTCGGAAGAAGAGCGACTTGCTCACGAAGCAACACACCTACCTTTTGCTCATTGGTGTGAGTCATGCGTAGAAGCCAAGAGTAAGCAGGATCACGAAAAGAAGAACCCAGAAGCAGGAAAGGACTCAGTGGGAGTACCTTATCCAATAATTCAGTTGGACTTTATGTTCCTACAAGGAAAGGACACACCAGCATTGGTTGGAATCTGTTCATGGACAAGGATGTCAGTTGTGATCCCCGTATCTGGAAAGCAGACGGAAAGAAAGACCGTGGAAAAAGTGTTGAAATGGGTACACAGTCTTGGACACTTGGAGGAAGTCGGATTTGTTGGAGATTCGGAAGAGGCAATGTTATCTCTGATAGCTGCAATCGTGGAAACTCGGAGAAAGATGAACCGCAAAACACACGATCAGAACAGCAAGCCGTATCAGAAAGGAAGAACGGCAAGAGTGGAAAGGTTTATCCAGACGGTGAGGAACCAAACAGTTTGCTTGGTACGAGCAGCCGAAAGAAAGCTTGGTATAGAGATTCCCGAAGGCCATGCAGTGTGGGCCTGGGGATTGTGCCATGCGTCATGGTTGCTGAACAGGTACCACAGACACGCCGCGATAGGGTCAACCCCTTACGAAAGTGTCGTTGGTAGACCTTACCTTGGGAAGATTGCCCCATTCGGAGAGTATGTGTATGCGCTGAAGAAACCCGAGAAGAAAGGAACAGCGAATTGGATTGGAGGAATCTACCTTGGTAAGAACTCTCAGGATATGCACTTGGTAGGAGTTGAAGACGGAATCTTGGCAACAGGATCTGTAAGGCGAATCGCCACTGGATGGAGAAAGGAACCAGTACTGAAGCTGAGTGTAACTCCATGGAACCCCAAGAAGCCAAAAGGAACGTATACCAGACAGCCGTTACCAGCCCCAGCATTAGCAAGTATCGCAGAAGAAGAAGGAACAGCACAGGAACCCGTAGTTCGTGCGGAAGATCGAGGACAGTCCCAAGAGGAACAGGTCGAGGAACTGTTGGATCTGCTGGACACAAGTGGAGCCTCAAGCGGAGGCAGGGCCTCGAGCGGAGGCAGGGCCTCAAGGCAGGGCCTCAAATGGAGGCATGGCCAGCACAGGATCTAGTTCTCATTCCCGGAGTTCAAGTTCAATGCAGGACGCACCACCTGGAGAACCAGAAGGACGTGTCAGTGACGATACTATGCTAGAAGACCTACGGAAGAGAGCTGTAGAAGGTGGACAAGAAGTCGAAGGATCGCCGAAGAAGTCACGAGAAATGCCATCAGCACCATCATCGCCTTCAAGAGGAATCTACCCGCCTTTGTTCGCAGGCAGGGTATCTCAGGAAGATGACCCCTTTCATTGGGATGAACATGAGGATCTCACGGCAGTAGAAGGAGAAGACGTGGAGTATGAAGATCTCATGGAAGAAGAGATGGAAGAAGTTCCAAAGAATGACCAAGGAGAAACACCACCCGAATTAAGTCCAGAGGAACTGGATACCTTGGATCAGGAAGCAGCCGTGGAAGAATTGAATCGCCTTAGCAAGCTAGGAGTAATCGAGGAATTCATGGAGGCGAATGCAACAGGTGATGAAAAGCGTATGGATTTGCGCGAAGTCTACGACTGGAGGCATCGTGACGGACGTTGGAAAAGGAGGTGCCGCATAGTGGCCAGAGAGTACAGGGCAGGTGCGAGCAGCACAGCTGAGACATTCAGCCCAACGGCAAGCAACGCCGCGTCGCGCCTAGTCTTGTTGTTACACCTGGTGTACAACTGGGTCGTAGTTGTACTTGATATAAAGGACGCGTACCTTCAGGTCCCGCAGCAAGAAGAGGTGCTAATCACAATCAGTGATTGGATGAAGCGAGCCGCGAACCTGAAAGAAGGAATCGTGTGGAGGCTCAAGAGATGCCTACCTGGTCAAAGAAACGCAGCAACAAGATGGTATGAACATTTGCGAAGTATACTTGAGAAACTTGGATTCGTGTTCTCAGTACATGTACCCGCATTAGCTAGACACACCACAAGGAAGCTGTGTATCTCTATCCATGTAGATGATGAGCTACTAGCAGGAGAAAAGGAAGAAACCATTTGGTTGGTAGAAGAACTGGAGAAGGTATTCAAGGTGGAGAAAGAAGGACCGTACCCAGCGAATGGAGTAGGAAGTGGAGAAGAGATGCGATATCTCAAAAGGAAGTATGTCTTTACCCGAGAAGGAATTGTTGTCCAACCGAATGAGAAGTATGTTCGGAAGCTCATTGAGTTGTATGACCTTGGAAAGTTGAAGAGTAAGGCCACACCAGAGCATGTGGATCTGGTGAAGGAAGACCGGACCAAGGAGTTGAGTGCTGAAGAGACAAAACGGTTTAGATCTGGACTCGGATCTATTTTGTACCTTGCACAGGACAGAATTGACATTCAGTATGCCTCAAAGTGTTTGGCATCAAGTATGTCGAAGCCGACGGTGCAGGCACTAAAGTGTCTGAAGCACTTGATTCTGTATCTGAGTGGAACAGCCACAAGGGCTACTCTGTTACCGTATACCGAAATCGGAAGCCGGTTGATCACGAAGTTGAATGGCCATGAGGACGAAGAAATTGCCAATGACGCAGGACATGTTGTGGAAGCGTATTCGGACAGTGATTGGGCAAGCCTGAAGACACCGGACAGAGCCCGAAGGAAGAGTACATCATCAGGAATCATTGTACTGAACGGAGTACAAGTGTTATCATTTTCTAGGACTCAGAAGGCCACATCATCATCAAGCTGTGAAGCAGAGTTGTATGCACTAAGTGGAACTTGTGGAGAAGCTATCCTAGTCGGAAGGCTATTTGAGTTCCTAGTAAACGCGCCTGTACGAGTGGAGATACGGTGCGATTCATCATCTGCACGACAGTGGAGTCAACGACGAGGAGTTGGACGTCTGAAGCATGTGGACGTTAGGCTGTGTCAACTGCAAGATTGGGTGCGAGACAATCTTGTAAAACTTGGTACAGTGCGAACCGCGCTCAATGTAGCGGATCTGAACACCAAGAAGTTGTCATATGCCCGAAGGTCATTTCTACTGTATCACTTGTCTCAAGTAGAGTATGATGAAGAAGGAAACTTGGAGTATACTGGAGAGAAAGAGTATGAAAAGCATGAACAAGAGAAGAAATTGAAGGAGTATGTCGGAAGTGGACAAATCAAGAATCTTATTAGAGCCATACAGGTATTTCATTTGATGAAGCCGATTACCGCAGCAGTGCTCAAGGAGGAAGTATCTAACGCCCAAGTAGAAACCTGTGGAGCCTTGGAGAAAGGTATGAACGCCATGGACGGAAACTTCACGAAGTTTGAAGTTGGAATGATGGTATGCGTATTTTTGCTCGCAGTGCCGTATGCTATCTCTGTATGGACGAAGCTTACGAGAGTCTTGGAAAACCTACGAGGTATTGGACGCGTGAAGATCAGTACGGGAAGCCGGGCAGGTGTGTATCACCGTGCTACATGCTGGCATGCCCAGGGATCTCACAAGAAGCCAGGCCGGTGGGTCTGGAAGGACGTACAAGAAGCCGAGCTGGAAGGCTTTAGGGCATGTTGGATTTGTTTCCCAGAGACGAAGCCAGAAGGAAGTCTGAGAAGACGCCGAGAACGCGTAGAGCCGCCAACCCCAGACGAAAGCGATTGGGAAGTGATGGAGCTTGACTTCGAGGTAGAGTCAACTGGCGGATGCACAAAGAAGTGCTACTGGTGCGGAATCCGGAAGTGTACAAGGGAGAAGAAAAACCACCAGAAATGTTCTTGTACGGAATGCATCAAAACGTATGCAACGGAACAATGGCGGAAAAGTTATGACAGAACTGCGACAGAAGGATCTTGTGATGCCACGGAAAAGGAAGAGACCCGTGTAACGGACGATGGAAAGCATGCATGGAATGCTGGACAAAAGATTGGTAATGGAAAAGGATCTCTGAAGAGACGTGGAAGAGCAGCGATGGGAACACCAGCAATCGTACACACAGATGGTGTGCGTATGCCCATCATAAGTGAGGAAGACTACCGACGTGGTGGAAGAATCACATCTGGAAGAAACAAGCAGGATGTGGACATAAGCGATGAAAACTTCGTTCGTGGAATGGAAGCCCTGGGAAGAATTGTTTCACCGGAAGCCCAGGAAGAACCGGAAAAGAAGAAGGAACCGGAGATGATTGAGTACCGTGGAAAGATGATAAGCGTGGAAGAGATGGGGAACAAGATGCTATCCCCAGAGGCACAGGAATCGTATGAAGAGTATTGCAAACAATGCAATGAGACGTATGACGCGTCAGGAGAGCGCGCACAAGGATCGGATATCCCGATGGATCTGTTTGGGAGTCCGAAGCCGGTAGTGGATCCCGGTACGCCAGACAGTACGGAGGAACGTACTTTGTTCGGAAGTCAGTAAGTCCTACATCGTGTACGAGTATGAGGCAGAGAAGTGAGTGTAGGCAAGATTGAAAAAGTTTCACCTCGGAACACACAGCAGCGAAAAGCGCAAATGAAGGATGAGCGCTAACGCAGGAAGTTTGTGTGGAATGTTTCACTAGGACGAAGTACTTGTTACTGTACGAGTCAGGACAAGGACGGTCTGACACACCTCCTTAATTGGGGGACGGTCAAAAGGTGGGTTGCACGGAGTGTTTAACCCAAGGACTTGCAATGGCTAAGCCGATGCAGTCACGGGCGGAGGTATGCCCGACCGCGGACCGATCGAAGTACAGCACAAGGACTTCGAGGCAGGGTGTTGAATTCTGTACATAGGAACGCCCCACACCTTTGGTGAGCCCAGGCTACGGTATAGTATTGTATAGCTGCATACTATGTGACCGACGCAGCGCCTTTGGTTCAAGAGTAAAAGCGTGACCGCTCAGGGTTTTACAGTTTAACTTTATCGCAGAGATGCTCTTGCTGGTCCTCTGCGTGAGCTGTGGCAGGTCGTGTCTTCAGTGAAGAGGGGCAAGTTCGCTCCAGATGTCACTCGCAGTGGTCGCTGGCAGGAGCCGGGTAGTCCTGCGAGCTCGGCTTCCGCTTCGCTGGTTTCTTCGCCACCCAGCAGTGCTGAGCGCAAGTCTTCTGCGGCTGCTGCCTCTGCTGCTGCCGCTGCTGTAACCAGCAGCTCCAGTGGCTCTTCTGAGGCTTCCTGTGACAGTGATGATGGTGCTGATCAACTCGTGGCGGCTGCCCCCCACTTTGTGGAGAACATCCTTGGTCTTGGGGGCTACGCTGTCGCTGGGAATAAGAAGAACAAGTTGCTGCACATTGTGAAACAGAAGACAGGGCGCCTCCTGTGCGGTCGCCTGCTGTCTGACTCCTTCGAGGTCTCTTCTGCTACTGACGCGGGTGATAGTCGTTTCTGTCGTACTTGTAAAACCTGTGCACTTGCCTGCGTTTAGTGCAGGGGCTGTGAAGCCGCTGACCTGTTCTGACAGCTGGCACTGTCGGCACTGTGCCTCTGCCGCTGTGCTGCTGTGCTTTGAGCGGTATGCACTCTGTCATCGCTGAGTTTTGCGACAGTTCTGCGGCTGTCGATCTGCAGCTGTCGGTCTGGATGGACCACACTGGCTTGTGCCGCCCCACGTCTGTAAAAAGGGTGTGTGCCAACTGCCTGCATGCTGTGTTCTTTAGTAGAGCGCGTGCATTAACATATTCTATCGAAAACATGCGAGCGCAGCGAGTCGAGGCAGTGGGAGCACGGCGCTGATCGCTTTCCTGCAGTTGAGCTTGAGGCAGGTCCTGTTCATTCCAGGAACCGAGAATGATACGTTCCTTTTGTCATGCTGTTTCTCTGGCCACGAGAAAGGGAACGGCCAAAGCGCACCTGGCATCACTGCCACCAGCACCACAGCAGTGCTGCTGCTCGTGCTGCTGATAACCCTCGACGAGCAAGATTGCCTACTGCATGGCAACTTTGGAAAGTGGCACGAGGGTTCGGGATGACAGTGCAGCGATACCTGCGTGGCTGGCTGTTACTGTTGCATGTCACGCAAATCAGTTGTAGGATGACAAGCGTGGGGCATTTGGACTAGATCGGGCCCATCTGCCCCAAGCTGTGGGCATCATGGGGCAAGGAAGCCTGGGCCATGATGTTCAGCTAGCTACTGTCAGGCTCACATCCGGCTTTAACAGCTCGACGGAGATCATCATACTCAATGCTTCTGATCCTCTCTTTTCGGATGCGAATGTGCGCATGAGCCAGGCCAGAGATGTGCACCTAAGAGTCGTAGCGGCAAGCGGACGTGCCCTGGTGCGCAGGATGGCAGCTGTGGGGCGCCTCGGCTACGTTGAACTCCGCGTAGGAGAGCAAGTGCAGCGGAAGCTCCCAGCTCCCCAGCTCCAGGCTGGAGCAGTACCGGGTTCGGTGAGACCGGCAACGCGAGGCCCGACCGAGAGAACGAGAGGGAAGAAGGACGAGAAAGAGAGAGAGAGAGCTAGAGAGAGAGAGAGAGAGAGAGAGAGAGAGAGAGAGAGAGAGAGAGAGAGAGAGAGAGAGAGAGAGAGAGAGAGAGAGAGAGAGAGAGAGAGAGAGAGAGAGAGAGAGAGAGAGAGAGAGAGAGAGAGAGAGAGAGAAGGAGAGCCACTCTAGTTCCCACTTCCCTGTTTTTCCGTCGGACCGGTCTTTCTTGTTGCCGTGGTATTTGTGTAGCAGCATCCGACGTGACCGGACCCCTCTTCCGAGTTCCTGCGCCAGGTCAAGATCTTTTGTCTTTCTTCTTGTGCACCTCCGCTACCTCTGCATGACTACATGCTCCTGGTTTATTAGCACACGGAGGGTCGGTCGTTTTCCAGCCTTGCCCGGTGCAGACTTCAAGTTGCTACTAGTACCCACTGGCAAATGGTTATCGCTCCACGCAAGCAGTGCAAATGCTTTGAGCCCGTCGCCTCTTTCGGCAGTTTCGTAGCTCTCGCTCGTCCATGCAACGCAAACTGTTCATGAGATGTTAGTTATGCCTCAGGGCTGTTAGTGGTGCGAGCCGATAATTGGAAGCGGTGCCAGCTCATGCCGATGTACAGTATGTACATGTATGTACCAATATGGGGTCTGGGCAGTCTGTTGCCTTCGGCGTCCCTATCGGTCTTGGCCAGCGACTCGCAGAATCCCTTATTATAGTCCTTACTATGGGCATTAAGGCCCCCTACCCCCCCTCCCCCTACACCCCTAAGATTCCCTGTGATGTGTGTCCGCACTTGTTGGGCACGGCGCTTCGGTCCCGGTCGTTGCTGCACTTGCTCCAACGATCAAGTCTTCAAGCGCTACTGTCTCTGGCGTGACTCAGTGTACACTCCGGCCCTTCGGCGGATTGAGCATCGTGAGCAGCCGAGTTCGTACTTCATTTTCGGAGGGGACAGTTCTCTCGCTCTCGTTACGAGGGATGGCGGGAGAGTAGTTCAGGAAGGAACTATGGAGCCGTTTCTCCGGGAGGAGATGACCAAGGATATCCGAATGGATGGCTGTTCTGTTGTCATGCGCTGGACATTAAGGAGCGTTGAGCAGGAGCTTCGTCGTGTGCAGAACTGGCGCAATGAAGGCGGGCCTCTCGCACCGGAAGGTGTTGACATTGTCATCCAATGGGGCGGCAATGACGTCTATGGCGAGTACGGTTACAAGGGGTTCTCTTTTCACATGCGCAATCAGTGGGTCAGGATTGACGACCCCATGCACGACAAGCTCGTGAACTGGGAGACAAAGGCGCTCAAGGCCGTCGAGGATGCGAAAGATGCCCTGGTTGCGCTTTCCTCCCGGGAGGGAGTGTCGTCTGTCACTATGGTAGCCGGCCCCCACAATGGGGAGTTCTACGGTCTTCCTGAGGTGTATGATCTCGAGATGGACAGGCACACTGAGGATTTGAAGAAGCGGGGGATTCGTATCGTGGATCCCCAGGCGCTGATCCTGGCCACCGAGAGATACGACAGCTTCCACATGGAGGCGACGCATGAAAATGTCAAGATGACCACGATGTGGTACTTCCACCTCGCGTCGGCCATCATGCTTGAACGATGGCTCGTCAAGCATGCGATGGAGCTCAAAGCCAATTCGCGTGGCATCTTATTTCATAACCATTTTCATCTTGGTTTCGGCTTGGAAGAGCTCGACATCCCGCCAACAACTGATCTGCTGATTCCGGCAGCGGCGGAGATGGTCACCTTCCCACCCGAGGCGCCACCGGTGCAGCGCTATCCGGAAGAAGAGATCGTTCTCAACCAGCCCATTCTCTCTTTAGAGAAGATCGATGAGATCGAGGGTGTGGCTCCTATTGATTTCGTTGGGGAAATAATGCGTGAGTCGGAAGACATCACTGTTGAAGATCAGGTTCTTTTGAACCCGAACCCCGATGAGGAGCACATCACCGTGGAAACGGTTGACCCTGGATCTGTCGAAGAGAAGGCTGTGCTTGAGCGTATCGCTGTCGTGGATCAGGTGATGACGTCCGAGGAAGCGGCGAGCGTGGCTGAAGAGCTTGGCATTGCTCCCTATGAGTTTGTTGAGCCCAATGTCAATGCGACTTCTGTAGTGGACGGAGAGGCAGCGTCTACCGTTGCCACATCCGATATCCCGACGGAAGTCTGGAACTCTGGCCCGATGAACATTGATTATGGTGGTGATGATGCAACCTAGTACTCGCGGTGGGCCCATTTGGCTCACGCCGGAGCAGCTTCCCGACGTCGAAGGACGCATGGGCTACTTTCGCCTCAATGAGATGGAGTGCGTTTCTCTGGGCAAGAAGCTTAGCTTTCACCTGCGAGGCCATGCGAAGGAGAAGGGCTTCAAGACGTGCGAATTTGATGAAGAGCAGGCTGCCGAAATTGGAGATGTCCTGAAAGTCACCGGCAAACAATGGTCGAGGCTAACGGTCATGACCATTATCGACCTTCTTACTTCGCGTCACTGCGACAAAGGCCGCTTTGAGCTCCAGGCGGAAGCCTCGGACGAAGACACCCGGCTAGGGAACTTCACCAGAATTCGTGCTTTTCAGGGCCACAACGCGTGTCTTCTGGTCCTTGATGGCAACCCCAAGAAGACCACTGTAAAGCAATGGGCGCTTGACCATTGGGTTCCATCGTACACCGTCATGCCTTTGACGGGTCCCTACCCTTATCGGGCCACGTCGTTCGATCTGATGCCTAAGCTTGGCTACCATGCCACTTACTGGCGCAATTTCTCGAAGATCGTGAACGCTGGCCTCATCCCGGGAGGGAAGATGACGTCCAAGGGCAACAGTGGCAGGCCGTTCATCATGATGGCCAAGGAGCCGCAGTGGGAGCGGACGAGCAACCAAGGCGTGCGCCCCGGAGCTCAGATCGAATTCGTCATTGATCTGCAGCTGGCCGCCTGTGACGGCTGCCGCATCTTTGAGACGAAAGCCGGGGCACTGCAGTCACCTGATTGGGTGAGCAACAGGGCGATTATGTATGCCTACGACCGGACGACCCAGGAGGTTATTTCTTGTCACTACCTCCCTGTGTCAGGATTGGGTAATTTGCGCGCCTGCTGCCTTCCTTAGATGTGGTAGCCGTTTCTCAGGCTCCCTCTCCGGAATCAAACCCTAATTCTGATCTGGGCGAATCGTGCCTACGAACCAGCGCGGAAGCGCTTGGCCCTGGCGTGCAAGGACAAAAGCGTCGCCACTCCGATCTATGGCGAACGCGAACGCGGCCATCAGGGACTCGTTGATGCCAATGGCTATTGCTACAACTACATTGTGGCAGGCCTAGGGGCTATGAATTTCGATTCCGGGCGGGATGCAGCTATGGCTTGCAATGATGTCTATGACCTCGATTTCTATCCAGTGCATGCTGTTGGTCTTGAGGTCAGCATCCCGGAAGGGCATGCCTTGCACAACATCGGCTCACTTTACCAGATGGTGGTTCATGTTGCTCCCAGGCACCCACATCGCAAGTGCAGGAGTGAGGCTGATTGGCGACGACAGGAAAACATCAGCATTCCTTCTTTCGGCTGTCCGTCGTGTGGCAATTCCAACATTGACGGGACGATCATGTGCTTCAGATGTGAGCTTCGTCTCGAGCCGCACTCCAACGTCAGCCAGGCCCTTGAGAATGGCAGAGCCAAGAGAGTTGCCGAAGGGTGAGCCTATGGATTACAGAACATTGCAACCTCGCGGCTTCGTGAATGCCAACAGGGCCACCGGGCACAAGAAAGACAGGAGCGCAGGATCCGGACCGGCGGCTATCCGACAACAAGCCGCAAAGTACCTAGGAAAGGCCTTGAAAGACGGGGTGCGCGCGGTCATGGAGCGCCGCTCTCGTGATCCCTTTCAGTCCTACAACAACGCTAGGTTTGGGATCTCGATCAACGGCCTGGAGCGTTGATGATTTCGCCAAGATGTGGATCGCCAATCCTCCCAGGACGCGCCAGATGATCGAAGACCGAACGGGCTTCGAAGGGTCTGCGAAAGTGTGCTTCTCATTCCCGTCGGAAGACCAGGACCTTACGTTGACGAACCACTGCTACGTGGCATTTGTTGACCGGTTCTACAAGTTGGATGAGGCAGCACTACTTGCTTTCGCGGTGCACCGCAACGACTGCACCCTTGAGATCTTGGGCTTCAGTGGTCGCGTGCTAAAGCCAGCAGGTCCCGCAGTGCAGATCCTTGCCCGGATTGTCGGCTTCTTTCAAGATGAGGTCCATTATGCCGTCGAAAGGGGGGAGAGCGTGCCTGAGTTGGTCATCCCACAAGGCGAGGAGCTTCGCATCCCGGAAGGGCTTGCCACTCTCGGCGATCGCCAGCTCAACGAGCTGTTGGTGAACAATAAGTTTGCCCGCGTGATGCCAAGTGGCGGAAATGTCAATGAGAGGACGGGATATGCTGTTCGTGCTGGGGCGACTACCAGGGGCCGTTCTGCCCAGCCACCATTTCCCAAGGCTAGACCTTCCACAGGAAGCGCATCAGCTGCACATCGTTCTGGTTCGGTACCTCCCAAGTCTCGTGCTCGTCCACGTGAGCCATCCCCAGCTGTTGCGGCAACAGGGATGCGGCCAACTGAGCCGAATTATCCGCCGCCCGGGAGGGATGTGCCAGCTTCATCTTCTGCGGGATCCAATCGTCCGCCCGAGCCTGCTGCTCCGCCGACACATGGACACGTCGCAGCTAAGGAAGCCTTACTTCACTCGCCACGATGCTCTTCTGTGGGCGAGACTTAAGGCGAGCCGCGACAGAACGGTTCCTCGGAGGATGGAAGCGGGCGCAGTCCCGCGCTTCGGCCATCCAGACGACTTTCTCATCTTGACTCCCGAGCACACAAGCTACTTCCTTGCCTTGCTGGCTGGAAGGAGACGCAGAATGGCGTCCGGCTCTACTGAATGCCGCGTCTTGTGCACTTCGGTAGTAGCTATTTTAATTTGGTTCTTCAGTGTCTTTTCTTTCTCCACCCTGACGGGTCGGACGCAAACGGCCATTCTTTTGCCTCCCTGACGAGACGGCCTGGTAAGGGGCTGGCCGGATGGGATTCTTTGCGTCAGGAGTGTTGAGATCGTGACTAAGAGCTTCTTTACGCCTGAGGTGTGAAATTTTCAGTCTTGTGTAATTTCGCATTGCAACATTTCGTCAATAGTCGGTACTTCTACTTCCGCCTCTCTTCGCTGCCCTAAGAGGCGCGGGGGTGTTTTGTTTGTAGATATATGTATGTACTGACGACTTTGACGTGTTGCGGGGCTCAAGCAAAAAGCAGCGCACTTTCGTGCTTTCCTGCGTAATGTATAAAGATCCGATAGATTCAGCATTCTGCCTTGAGGTCGTTCGATCACCGTCTCGAAAACAGGTCTTGGCGATGAATCCTCAGTGACTTTTGTGCAACTGTACTTGCCTGAACAGATGTTCTCTTCCGAGGGTGGCTTGGCAGGGCACGGTGTTTGATTTGGAGATGCTTCCTGGGCTGGAAAGCGACTGTTAACACTCTGGACAGGTGCTCCATTTTCGCCTTCCAGAACTTTCTCCCTTGCAGCTGGGCCATCACCCGGTGCAACGCAGAGCCGGCATCTCGGTTCTCGTTCTTGACGCTACATGGTATTCACCGGAGCCTGACATGTTTGGATGCTCGCGTCCATCACTCTGCTGGCAGAATTCCTTCAGCGCCCCTGTTTGCGTGTCACTGATAGTGTCTATGTCCAGGAGATGCGCAGACAGACCTCGGGGCGGTTGCAGTATCATGACAGCCAGCTGACGATAGCGTCAATCAGCCAAACTTAAAGTGTCTAGTTTCGCGACTTCCATTTGGAGATTCTTGTTGTTGCAGAGGTACGACCCCGCAGCAAGCATCAAGCCCCTTGAGGCTTCCTGCTCCACGAAGTTAAAAGGTCCAAACAAAGTTTAACGGTTGGGTGACACGCGAGAGCAGAGATTCGATCGGATGCCATCCGACTGACAGGCTGCTTGGGCTTCTCAGCGAATGGGCTAATTGCACTCACTTTCCTTTTGCTGCAGCAATCTGAGAGCATTGCACGCAAACCTTGATGACTTGCGCCAGGCATCGGGCAGAAACTGCCAGGCTTGTGCCCACAGCTGCTTCGACGGCCTGCGCGAAGAGCAGCCGCCTCTTCCGGCCCCTGGGGCGGCATTCGGTCACAGACCGTACTAGGCTTCACTAAGATGCAGACGAGCAGGCCTGAAACAGCAATGCAAGAATCGCGAGGCCTTCTAGGCTCCAGGGACGATGCTAGTTTAGAAGTACGTTCCGGGCTTCCCCCATGTTGCCCAAGAGTTGGGGTGGGTTGTCCTTGCCCTGGAAAGTCGGCGTTGTGGACCTTGAGGACTCGTCGGGGTCACGGCCGGTACGAAGCGATGCTCGCCCCGCGAAAGCTCTGCAGCTGTTCTGCCAGCCTGCCCGAGTGCCTGGTAGCGGCCGGGGGCTTTTCTACTTTAATGCAGAGTGCGGGGCTTCGGAGTGTTTCGTGCGCAGAGACTTCTCAGGTCTCCGGATAGCAAGGCCTGGCAAGGACTTCTCCGTAGTTTAGACTCTATGATGTGCTGGAGGCCTGGAATGCTGCCCACTGCCACGGGCGGGTGCTGGCTGTCATACGGGTTCTGGAGCTCTAACTGACCCCCCTCTAAAGAGTGCCCATTGTCCTGCTGGGCCCCGCGCAAGAGCAGAATCAGCACAATTTTGAGGCCACTTCTGCTTTGAAGGCCGTAAACGTCCAGAAATCACTATGTTTGGATGTCTAGGGTGCCAAGCCGGCCTGCGCCGCAAGGCCCGTGAGCAGCTCGTGTGCCCGCACCTGCCACAAAGCCTGCAGCGCGAGGAGTTCACCAATCCTGCTTGTGAATTCTTGACTATTGCGCAGGATTGAAGGACGGTCATGCAAGAGGGGCGCCTCAATCACGTTCCAGCACACCTTGGCCAGTCACGGCACCACGGCCTGCATGCTCATGACGACAAAGGAGGCTGAAACACTGAAAGCACCAGTGCTCTCCCTGAGAAGGCAACCTTCATGCTCGTGTAGAAGAGGGCCGGGCTTTCGGCCGCAGAGCGCCAGGCAGCCCACCACAGCCACCTCACGATAGGCGTAGGCCGAAATGAAACATCTGCGCTGGTCATGGCAGGGCTGAATGTCCTTTTGCAGTGTGCAGCAGGTGGACACAGGAGCCCGCACAGGCAGCGGGGAATCGTATCGATTCGCTGCATTACAGTGCCAGAAATGCGTTGTCAGTGACAAAATCATCCGTGGGACATGTTTTTGCAGCGTGAGGAGGTCGTCCAAACAGATGCGGCCAGGACACCCCTTCTCCGTGACAGCTTGACGAAAGCTTAAGAAGGTTGTTATTTGGTCTAGATGGAGACGGTCATTGTCAAGGTGCAAAGATGGACAGCCAAACTCTAGTCAGAAGTGGGGTCTGCATCAACTGGCCACATGGATAACTCTGGATAACGCGCGTAGTTAATCGTTGACGGGCGTCGGCCTGCAGAAGGTCCTGCTAGCGGAGGCCAGTCCGCCCCAAACGACGGGCCCGGGCAGCATTTGGCAGTTTGGGTCTGGGGCATGTCGTGTGCCCACAAGCCCAACGATGGCTTGAGAAGTGCGCGTGAACCCAAAGCAGAAAGCTGCTAGCTCGTACCACTTCGCCAGCAGTCAGAAAAAGAACGGCTGTTATCTAAGTCGCCAGCTTGCCACGGGGCATGCGGGGAGGTTTCAGGCACTTCGGCGTACCTCGGATGTTAGTTGACCTGGCTCAAGTGCTTCATGCATTCTCAATCACACCCGTTTCCTGCGATACTTACCATGGCGCGTGTTCAAGTGATGCCCTGGGCAGTCATCCTGCTTGCAGGATGTCTTCAGAGCTGTGAGGCAGTTCGCAGCCAGATGACTTTCAACATTGTGTCGCTTGCAGACTTAGACATGTCGCCGACCCTGGAGATGGACGAAGCGACACTGGACTCGATCGGATGGCCAGAACACGCTGCCCACCGCCACGGCGGCGAATTGAGCTTGCTTGACCGCTCTGTAGTGGCGGGCCACGAGTCCGATGCAGGCATGGTGTTGGCATTGAAGCCGTTGAAGGCTGAGGATTACAGCCCGGCGGAGTTGGCAAAGGAAGTGGTGCCCATGCTCAGGAATGTCGTCAGGTCAGAGTTTGGAGAGCTGGATGGGTGGCTGAAGGAAGAGGTCGCCTTCAAGAAGACCGTGAAGTTTGCCCGTTTCGATATCACCCAAAACTTCATTGACTTTCACAACGCTGGCAGCTTGCTGCAAGTGGCATTGGCGGCAGCAGGAACCATGCCGTGCTCGGTGCCAATTGGCGTTACCCTCTCCAACTATGCGGATCTGGTGCACAAGTCCTGGGAGATGGGCCATGCCTTCGTGTCTGCCTCCGTGGAGGCTGTCGACTCACATCGAGTTGCGATTCTAGCCCTGGCCAAGAACAAGCCCCAAATAGTTATGCGGCGATTGCTGGGCTGCAGCGCCCTTGCCCAAAAAATGGTGGATGGAGCCACACAGATGGCTGAAGCGGTTAGTGGTTTGGTCACTGAGACGAAGCAGGGTCTCAAGAAGGCTTTAGAAGACAGACGTGCCAATGCCGAGGAGATGCGCAACCTCAAGAAGCAATTTGCAGACTTGGATTCAAACATCGCTGGGATGCAAGCAGAACTAGAAGATCTTGAAAGCAACATTGCCGACGCAAAGGTTGAGGAGGAGAACTTCGCTCGCCGTGCCGACGCCGCTCGCAACAAGGCGCAGAACATGCAGATGGTTGGGACCATTATGGGGAGCCTCACAGAAGCATTAACAAGTTACGCCAATCCTGGTGCCAAGAGCATCGGTCAGCTCATGCAACCGGGGCCCACGCCATCGACGTCACCAGCACAGCCTGCTCCGAACAAAGAGCCTGCTCCAGACAAGGCAGCTGCTGTAAAGAGTGTCGTGGAGCCCCTGTCACGCGAGGTTTCTCAGATCGAGGAGAAGCTGGCGAAGGCAAGCGAAGACGACGCGGTTGCTCTACGACAGCAGTTGTCGAAGGCCAAAGAAGCGCTTCGCAATGGTTACAAGGAAGTGAGGGCAATGTTCACCGAGCAGGCAAAGACGCTAGACGATAAGGAGGCTGCCGTCCATGCAAATCGTGTCGAGTTGCAGAAGGATCGGCGGAAAACTAACGCCGAGCTGCAGAAATCTCTTGTCGCGCTCAGCCACCTCAAGGAGGAGAAAAGTGAAGTTGCCAAGTCTGCGGAGCTCCTGAACACGGTGGTCAAAACTCTTGGCAAGGTGCAAAAGACCTTCATGCTCACGGCGACTTTCTGGAAACTCATCAAAACCAGCTATGAGAAACTTGCTAGCAAGTGGCTGAAGGATTCGCTGGAGGAGGCTATAGAGCTTGAGACGCTCGTCCCAGACTTGGTTGCATCCACTACGGACTGGATTACACTGGGAAGCGTGAACTACATGGCAAGGCTGGGCATGAGCCAGGCCGCCGAGCATGTTGACAACATCTTGAGTGACCTCCCTGTAAAGGAGGCCGCTGCCAACATGGTGCTTCAGACAGCGGGAAGCCTCGCGCAGTCGCTTCAAGAAGATGAAGCCATCCTCCAACTGGAAGAGCCAGAAAAGACTGTCTGAGCAGCCAAAATAGCTGCAGGCATTTATGACTCCACACAAAGGTGATATACAGTGTGACCAGCTCGCGACTCGCGACATGAAATCGCGCGAGGAGCTCGTTGTCGAGACATGACATTAATATGTGGCGGATAAGAAAAACGTGATTTCCTGCTTAAACGAGTCTAGACTTCCGGACGGGCATGCCAGCACACAGGGGCAGTCTTGGGCCAGTCAAGTTCCTGTGCATCCGCAGCCAGCGTTCCAGATGGCAAAACTAGGTCTACGTAGGATTTGGCTGCCAAACAGATTCCATCGTGCATTGATGCCAGGAAGGCATCCGCAAGCACTGCCCCGTATCATGCCAGGAAAGCAGCGGAGCGCTGCACATGCCGCGCGATGCATCTGTTGTGTGCCTTGCCGGCTTCTGGCTTTCACGTGTTTCACTACTGGTCTTCAACCCGTTTACGCAGTTCGCGACAGCACTCTGGAGTCTGTCATGTTCTCTGACAGTGCACAGTCAGTCGTCGACCTTGCGGGAGAAGAAACAGATGATTCCGGGATGCACAAGGAACCCAAGGTGCTGTTGCAGCCTGAGCCAGGCAACTCAAAAGCGGGTGAAGGGGCTTCTACGTTCAGGCAGGTCGATCGCCCCAGCAGCGCCGCTCTTGAACAGACAGGACTTAGGAGCAATCCTGGCATGGTCGACAGCCGCCGCATTCCTGTAAATCTGGCCTGGCCTGCGGCCTTTATGCAGGATCGACAGGCTTTGCAATCCTCTGCGGCCACTCCAGCGTCCGCGCGACTTCGACAAGCAGCCGATCTCACACAGCAGCTGCTGTCTGCAAAGCCTTCAGAGTTCGAGAAGGTTGCAAGTCAAATTCACGCAAGTATTCAAGCTGCCGTCGACAAATTGACGGACGCTGTTGCAGACGTGTCAAACAGGTGGAAAGCTGCAAATGCAGGTGTCGAAAAGCTGTACAAGAGTCGCGTGGCAGCTGCAGCCGCCTTGGACAAGTCTCAGCGTCAGTTGCAGCAGAAGGATGCACAGCTGGCAGGATTGAAATCTTCGGTCGAGGACTTGAAGATGCAGATCGGCAGCCTTAAGCAACAAAGAAGTGAACTTGAGGCTGAAGCCAGTCGGCTGCACACCCACGGCCAAGTGGTGTGGGCATTCCGATTTATCACCCCGGTGGCCTGGTTCATCCCTGACCTGAGCGAGGAGAAGGCTGCTGTGCAAAAGCGGCTTCAAGGCAGAGAACAAGAGTTGCAGCAGACTCAGGATAAGCTGAGACAGTCCCAGTCCCAGGCAGAGGGAAGCCGGCGTGAGATTGCCAAACTCCAATCGAGTGTGCGGACTTACCTACGCCAGGAAGGCGAATTGAGCGAGCAACTCCTCAGTGCCTCCAAACAAGTGGCGGACCTTCTTGGAGAAAGAACGATGCTGGAAAACACCTTGACATCTCACAAGTTGCTTCGCAAGATGGCTGCCAATCGCATTGAGGAGGCAGAGATTGAAGATCTCCGAGATGAAGCCGACATTCGGGATCTGAGGGAGAACTTGCTGAAGTCTTCCCGGAAGCTTGGAGAGATTTTCGCAGCAAGCCTCATGCAGCAACTTACAAGTTCCCAGCTCCTTGCAAAGATCGGACTTCCTTTGAATTAGATCTTCGCATTCTGCTACAACTCCATTTCGTGTCGCTGTGGGCTTGGTGAATCCCACCTCCCATGGCTGGCAGTGCGTCCTGGCCGCTGCACTGGACGCAAATGGGAGGACCTTGTGACGTTGCGGGTTTGCCGGTAAGGTCTCAGTCTAAGATCCCGACGCCGTGTCTGTTGATCTATGTTTTCGCTGCCCTTTCGGCCGCAGTGGATGTAGAAGATTGTAGAAGTAATTCTGTGCTCTGAAACATGGCTTTCTGAATGGCTTGATTGAGATCGTCAAGCCTGTGCCCTGCAGCAGTACTCCAAGTGAAGAGTGTCGTGGAGCCCCTGTCACGCGAGGTTTCTCAGATCGAGGAGAAGCTGGCGAAGGCAAGCGAAGACGACGCGGTTGCTCTACGACAGCAGTTGTCGAAGGCCAAAGAAGCGCTTCGCAATGGTTACAAGGAAGTGAGGGCGATGTTCACCGAGCAGGCAAAGACGCTAGACGATGGATCGGCGGAAAACTAACGCCGAGCTGCAGAAATCTCTTGTCGCGCTCAGCCACCTCAAGGAGGAGAAAAGTGAAGTTGCCAAGTCTGCGGAGCTCCTGAACACGGTGGTCAAAACTCTTGGCAAGGTGCAAAAGACCTTCATGCTCACGGCGACTTTCTGGAAACTCATCAAAACCAGCTATGAGAAACTTGCTAGCAAGTGGCTGAAGGATTCGCTGGAGGAGGCTATAGAGCTTGAGACGCTCGTCCCAGACTTGGTTGCATCCACTACGGACTGGATTACACTGGGAAGCGTGAACTACATGGCAAGGCTGGGCATGAGCCAGGCCGCCGAGCATGTTGACAACATCTTGAGTGACCTCCCTGTAAAGGAGGCCGCTGCCAACATGGTGCTTCAGACAGCGGGAAGCCTCGCGCAGTCGCTTCAAGAAGATGAAGCCATCCTCCAACTGGAAGAGCCAGAAAAGACTGTCTGAGCAGCCAAAATAGCTGCAGGCATTTATGACTCCACACAAAGGTGATATACAGTGTGACCAGCTCGCGACTCGCGACATGAAATCGCGCGAGGAGCTCGTTGTCGAGACATGACATTAATATGTGGCGGATAAGAAAAACGTGATTTCCTGCTTAAACGAGTCTAGACTTCCGGACGGGCATGCCAGCACACAGGGGCAGTCTTGGGCCAGTCAAGTTCCTGTGCATCCGCAGCCAGCGTTCCAGATGGCAAAACTAGGTCTACGTAGGATTTGGCTGCCAAACAGATTCCATCGTGCATTGATGCCAGGAAGGCATCCGCAAGCACTGCCCCGTATCATGCCAGGAAAGCAGCGGAGCGCTGCACATGCCGCGCGATGCATCTGTTGTGTGCCTTGCCGGCTTCTGGCTTTCACGTGTTTCACTACTGGTCTTCAACCCGTTTACGCAGTTCGCGACAGCACTCTGGAGTCTGTCATGTTCTCTGACAGTGCACAGTCAGTCGTCGACCTTGCGGGAGAAGAAACAGATGATTCCGGGATGCACAAGGAACCCAAGGTGCTGTTGCAGCCTGAGCCAAGCAACTCAAAAGCGGGTGAAGGGGCTTCTACGTTCAGGCAGGTCGATCGCCCCAGCAGCGCCGCTCATGAACAGACAGGTTTCCATGTTCGTCTGCTTTCAATTGCTTGGATTGTGCTGGGCAGACGCCCACCGGCTCTTCAAACTCCGGGCAACCAAAGCTTTCGTGGCAATTTGAAAGTAAACCACCCGAAGCCTCATGCAGCACCGTCTGGCCTCACACTTGGCCGGTAAGCGAGCCCTGAAGCCCGAAGAACCGCCTCTAGCATGCCCAGGCCAGGGCCAGGTCAGCCGTCGGGTGCTCACGAGCTGCCAGCAGGATCGGAGCAACCGGAAACTCTAGACGATGGCTTTGTTTTGCTTTGCAGACTGGTCATCTGATGTCACAGGGTATTGGGCTTAGGCATCGGGGCATGCCATGCTTGTATACTGCGAACCCTAAGAGCTCATGCACCCAAGCTATCCCAAGCTCTCAAGAGCTGCGATCGATTGCTGACAGGCCTTTGGATGGCGCACTGCCGGGTATCCCGAGCACTTGCGAGCCGGAGCGAGAAAGAGTGCGTCGCTTACTGGCCGTCGCAACAGCTGAGACTTGGGCAGAAGTTCGCTGCAGAAATGCTGGTGGACCGTCGGGCTTGGACCTGTGCGCGCTGTGCAGGACCCCGGAAGCTGGTGGAAGCAATGCGGCTGCATCGGCAACAGCTTCGCAGGCTTCTGCATCCAGCAAGCTCATCATTGAACGATATGAAAAGCTGAGTGGGCAAGACAGACTTGCCTTCCGTTACATGTGCTGGATAAGCAGATAGCAGATGCTGCTGGCAACGTCTCAGGCAGCACCTGCGAAGGAGTACGACCTAGCGCTGGTGTCAGCTCCTGCATCCACATCCTGGCCACTAGGTCAGTACATGCCGTGGCTGGATCAGGCTTTGGTCCTGATACTCCCTGCATGTATGCTGTGCCCTGGCCAGGAATGGTTCCGACGCCGCCCGAACACCCACGCCGAGCACCGAAGTCATGCCGCATCTGAGCAGATGACCTCAGCTAAACTGTCGTTGTATTCTGATACTGTTCCCCCTCCCCGAAAGGATTGTGGTGTCACTACTTCAGGTCTTGCTCTTGCTGTAGAGATGGTGCCTTTGGCACGCTGCCAAGAATGATCAGCTGGTGGCCCTCCACCTACTTTTGCGCTGGCCTTGGCCTCACTCACGCTATCTGCTGTGTGCGACTCACATGCGCATAGCCGATCAGTGTGACACCACACATTGCAAGTGAGTGGTTATTAGCTTCGGGTGGTGCATCTCCCAAATGTCTGGTGTTCATCTGATGCCGTCTGGAACCCCGTGCTCTGTGAAAATGGGGACAAATCGAGACACAGTGGCTACGCAGCGATCGGCACCACGACCTGGTAGGAAGGAAAGGTGACCAGTCATGGTCACAGCACAAGCACAGAGCTCAAATCGAAAGCCAGGCACTGAAGCTCCAGCTCAACCAAGCATTCCCCAGACATCCCCAGACTCTGCCTTCAGCACGACGGGACCGACACTTTCTTGCCACCTGCTTACGCAACAGCACGCTGCAATATTGATGACGGGATCCACACTCAGGATTCAGGATCACAATGATTAGGCTGACATCGCCATAGGCTTCACCAAGCTTCGAGGCACACTTCTGCATCGATTTCCCATCCGGCTTGCAATCACCGGACCGTCGAGGCGCAGCCCAAGGTTTGCCAATCCGGCTCTCCGCGCCCTCCATGCTGCGGTCCTTCATCTACTGGTTTGCAGCACAGCATCTGCCATGAAACCCGGGATGGTGAACCAGGGATCTGATATGTTTGATTTAGCGCTCAGGGGCTAGGGGTTCAGGATTCACCCAAGTCAACGTGCAATGGCTATGCACGAGCTTTCCGGTCCATTCGGCGATCAGCGGATGTTACATCGTGCTCTTTCAGAACAAGATGTGCGTCTTGCAGCTGACTTGAAAGCTGCCTGCGCCCATCAGCAAGGTTTTTGCACAGTGAGATTGCGAGAAGTATTCTTGCGATTCGAGATGGCACAGCATGCTGTCAGTGAATTTCTTCCAGCAAAGCGGTTGCAACAACGGCAGCACACTGCTGTGACCAAGGGCCGGAGCCAAAAGATGGGCGACGAAAATGCCAAAAATGGATAAGATGGCAGCCTCTGTGTTTCTTGTATTCTGCTAGTGATGTTTGGATGAGAAGCACGAAGACTGTCTTTCTGACGTTGTCTGTGGCTCTGTTCCAGCTAGATAGTCGTTTGCAACTCTATCCTTTGATTGTTGCTATGGACCCACTCTGGTTGTTCTTGGCTCTCTGCTGCCACGGTGTTATCGCAGCCCGTGTTGCTGAGCAACTACTTGGATTGCAACAGCGTGATGATACGGAAAGAAACTCGCTGTACATTCTGTGCCCTTTCCCTCGGAAGGAATGCAGGAAGAGCGACCTTGAGCACAAAGCATTGGATGCAAAGAAGGACTTAGAGGAGAGGCTGAAGAAGAAAGGCGTAGTCTATACCGGATTGAATCGCGTTCCCACAACCTTCAAATCCATCAAGTACATCACTGCTGGTGACAAGATCACGGTGCAGGAACATGACAGCCTCGTGGTCATGGGGCACGGTTCAAAAGGAGATACCAAAGTCGGTATCTTTGACTACGACCCAAAAGGTGAGAATCAATGTGGGCGTCACAGAAAGGACGATTCGGCCAAGGACATCATTGAGCGCCTGAGCTTGCTCGAGGCTGAAAACGCCGACGAAGTTTACTTCTTGGTTTGCTTTGCCAAGAATAAAGATCATCTAGCGCAAGCGTGGCGAAAGCATGTGAGAGACAAAGGACATGACCAGCAGGAGGTGTTTGGTTCAACTGAAGCATGTGTTGGCTTGACTTCGATGAAGGGGACACGGTTGTGTGAGCCTTTGTCGCCACTATGATGGTCGTGGTTCTCATGTAGATCGAGCTATTTGATGCCGAACCTGATGCGGTCAGGTGCTCAGAAAGGTTCATGCACCACATGCAGGTGCAACTGCATTTCACTTATACCTATCTGAGGTGATGATGCCCATATACTGAGATACTTGTGGAGGGCAAAGGATCCCCTGTTCGAAGGGGCATGTTCACCGGCCTTCCTCGAACGACCGGGCTGCTTCCAAATGGTCTATGTGGAGGATCGGGGAGGGAAGGGTGAGAGACCGGAACTTTGTCATGCTCTTCGTGAAGGAGAGGCGCTGACGCAGACCTTTCCATGAACGTGTGCAGCGATGATCAAACCGACGCTGACCCGCTGGTCGCCCTGTGCCGAAATGCATGGCATCCGTTCCTGATGCTAGACAAGTCACCAGCTGCGACCCTGCAGCTGTGATTGGCTCAGCTTCAGATATTTCAAGATGATGCTGGTACTCATGAGCATCTTACCTTGGGCATACACAATGTCACAAGCCACACATGGGGCGGAAGCATGCCCCCGCCCAGTGACACACGTGACACACGAATCTCAAACGCGTTTACAGTCACCCCGGGTATACCAGTAGCAGCTCGGGTGAACTCATCAGGGTGTCACTGATTCCCGATCGGTTCTTCTTGGCCGGAATGACTTGCATGGGGCTGAGGGAGCCTGGCGTTGTTTTACCATATTCTATCGAAAACATGCGAGCGCAGCGAGTCGAGGCAGTGGGAGCACGGCGCTGATCGCTTTCCTGCAGTTGAGCTTGAGGCAGGTCCTGTTCATTCCAGGAACCGAGAATGATACGTTCCTTTTGTCATGCTGTTTCTCTGGCCACGAGAAAGGGAACGGCCAAAGCGCACCTGGCATCACTGCCACCAGCACCACAGCAGTGCTGCTGCTCGTGCTGCTGATAACCCTCGACGAGCTGTGCGCTCCGTGAGACGCTTCAGCATGAAGATTGCCTACTGCATGGCAACTTTGGAAAGTGGCACGAGGGTTCGGGATGACAGTGCAGCGATACCTGCGTGGCTGGCTGTTACTGTTGCATGTCACGCAAATCAGTTGTAGGATGACAAGCGTGGGGCATTTGGACTAGATCGGGCCCATCTGCCCCAAGCTGTGGGCATCATGGGGCAAGGAAGCCTGGGCCATGATGTTCAGCTAGCTACTGTCAGGCTCACATCCGGCTTTAACAGCTCGACGGAGATCATCATACTCAATGCTTCTGATCCTCTCTTTTCGGATGCGAATGTGCGCATGAGCCAGGCCAGAGATGTGCACCTAAGAGTCGTAGCGGCAAGCGGACGTGCCCTGGTGCGCAGGATGGCAGCTGTGGGGCGCCTCGGCTACGTTGAACTCCGCGTAGGAGAGCAAGTGCAGCGGAAGCTCCCAGCTCCCCAGCTCCAGGCTGGAGCAGTACCGGGTTCGGTGAGACCGGCAACGCGAGGCCCGCACCGAGAGAACGAGAGGGAAGAAGGACGAGAAAGAGAGAGAGAGCTAGAGAGAGAGAGAGAGAGAGAGAGAGAGAGAGAGAGAGAGAAAGAAGGAGAGCCACTCTAGTTCCCACTTCCCTGTTTTTCCGTCGGACCGGTCTTTCTTGTTGCCGTGGTATTTGTGTAGCAGCATCCGACGTGACTGGACCCCTCTTCCGAGTTCCTGCGCCAGGTCAAGATCTTTTGTCTTTCTTCTTGTGCACCTCCGCTACCTCTGCATGACTACATGCTCCTGGTTTATTAGCACACGGAGGGTCGGTCGTTTTCCAGCCTTGCCCGGTACAGACTTCAAGTTGCTACTAGTACCCACTGGCAAATGGTTATCGCTCCACGCAAGCAGTGCAAATGCTTTGAGCCCGTCGCCTCTTTCGGCAGTTTCGTAGCTCTCGCTCGTCCATGCAACGCAAACTGTTCATGAGATGCTAGTTATGCCTCAGGGCTGTTAGTGGTGCGAGCCGATAATTGGAAGCGGTGCCAGCTCATGCCGATTTACAGGATGTACCAATATGGGGTCTGGGCAGTCTGTTGCCTTCGGCGTCCCTATCGGTCTTGGCCAGCGACTCGCAGAATCCCTTATTATAGTCCTTACTATGGGCATTAAGGCCCCCTACCCCCCCTCCCCCTACACCCCTAAGATTCCCTGTGATGTGTGTCCGCACTTGTTGGGCACGGCGCTTCGGTCCCGGTCGTTGCTGCACTTGCTCCAACGATCAAGTCTTCAAGCGCTACTGTCTCTGGCGTGACTCAGTGTACACTCCGGCCCTTCGGCGGATTGAGCATCGTGAGCAGCCGAGTTCGTACTTCATTTTCGGAGGGGACAGTTCTCTCGCTCTCGTTACGAGGGATGGCGGGAGAGTAGTTCAGGAAGGAACTATGGAGCCGTCTCTCCGGGAGGAGATGACCAAGGATATCCGAATGGATGGCTGTTCTGTTGTCATGCGCTGGGGCAAGGGCTTAGGCGACATTAAGGAACGTTGAGCAGGAGCTTCGTCGTGTGCAGAACTGGCGCAATGAAGGCGGGCCTCTCGCACCGGAAGGTGTTGACATTGTCATCCAATGGGGCGGCAATGACGTCTATGGCGAGTACGGTTACAAGGGGTTCTCTTTTCACATGCGCAATCAGTGGGTCAGGATTGACGACCCCATGCACGACAAGCTCGTGAACTGGGAGACAAAGGCGCTCAAGGCCGTCGAGGATGCGAAAGATGCCCTGGTTGCGCTTTCCTCCCGGGAGGGAGTGTCGTCTGTCGCTATGGTAGCCGGCCCCCACAATGGGGAGTTCTACGGTCTTCCTGAGGTGTATGATCTCGAGATGGACAGGCACACTGAGGATTTGAAGAAGCGGGGGATTCGTATCGTGGATCCCCAGGCGCTGATCCTGGCCACCGAGAGATACGACAGCTTCCACATGGAGGCGACGCATGAAAATGTCAAGATGACCACGATGTGGTACTTCCACCTCGCGTCGGCCATCATGCTTGAACGATGGCTCGTCAAGCATGCGATGGAGCTCAAAGCCAATTCGCGTGGCATCTTATTTCATAACCATTTTCATCTTGGTTTCGGCTTGGAAGAGCTCGACATCCCGCCAACAACTGATCTGCTGATTCCGGCAGCGGCGGAGATGGTCACCTTCCCACCCGAGGCGCCACCGGTGCAGCGCTATCCGGAAGAAGAGATCGTTCTCAACCAGCCCATTCTCTCTTTAGAGAAGATCGATGAGATCGAGGGTGTGGCTCCTATTGATTTCGTTGGGGAAATAATGCGTGAGTCGGAAGACATCACTGTTGAAGATCAGGTTTTTTGAACCCGAACCCCGATGAGGAGCACATCACCGTGGAAACGGTTGACCCTGGATCTGTCGAAGAGAAGGCTGTGCTTGAGCGTATCGCTGTCGTGGATCAGGTGATGACGTCCGAGGAAGCGGCGAGCGTGGCTGAAGAGCTTGGCATTGCTCCCTATGAGTTTGTTGAGCCCAATGTCAATGCGACTTCTGTAGTGGACGGAGAGGCAGCGTCTACCGTTGCCACATCCGATATCCCGACGGAAGTCTGGAACTCTGGCCCGATGAACATTGATTATGGTGGTGATGATGCAGCCTAGTACTCGCGGTGGGCCCATTTGGCTCACGCCGGAGCAGCTTCCCGACGTCGAAGGACGCATGGGCTACTTTCGCCTCAATGAGATGGAGTGCGTTTCTCTGGGCAAGAAGCTTAGCTTTCACCTGCGAGGCCATGCGAAGGAGAAGGGCTTCAAGACGTGCGAATTTGATGAAGAGCAGGCTGCCGAAATTGGAGATGTCCTGAAAGTCATCGGCAAACAATGGTCGAGGCTAACGGTCATGACCATTATCGACCTTCTTACTTCGCGTCACTGCGACAAAGGCCGCTTTGAGCTCCAGGCGGAAGCCTCGGACGAAGACACCCGGCTAGGGAACTTCACCAGAATTCGTGCTTTTCAGGGCCACAACGCGTGTCTTCTGGTCCTTGATGGCAACCCCAAGAAGACCACTGTAAAGCAATGGGCGCTTGACCATTGGGTTCCATCGTACACCGTCATGCCTTTGACGGGTCCCTACCCTTATCGGGCCACGTCGTTCGATCTGATGCCTAAGCTTGGCTACCATGCCACTTACTGGCGCAATTTCTCGAAGATCGTGAACGCTGGCCTCATCCCGGGAGGGAAGATGACGTCCAAGGGCAACAGTGGCAGGCCGTTCATCATGATGGCCAAGGAGCCGCAGTGGGAGCGGACGAGCAACCAAGGCGTGCGCCCCGGAGCTCAGATCGAATTCGTCATTGATCTGTAGCTGGCCGCCTGTGACGGCTGCCGCATCTTTGAGACGAAAGCCGGGGCACTGCAGTCACCTGATTGGGTGAGCAACAGGGCGATTATGTATGCCTACGACCGGACGACCCAGGAGATGATCTGGGCGAATCGTGCCTACGAACCAGCGCGGAAGCGCTTGGCCCTGGCGTGCAAGGACAAAAGCGTCGCCACTCCGATCTATGGCGAACGCGAACGCGGCCATCAGGGACTCGTTGATGCCAATGGCTATTGCTACAACTACATTGTGGCAGGCCTAGGGGCTATGAATTTCGATTCCGGGCGGGATGCAGCTATGGCTTGCAATGATGTCTATGACCTCGATTTCTATCCAATGCATGCTGTTGGTCTTGAGGTCAGCATCCCGGAAGGGCATGCCTTGCACAACATCGGCTCACTTTACCAGATGGTGGTTCATGTTGCTCCCAGGCACCCACATCGCAAGTGCAGGAGTGAGGCTGATTGGCGACGACAGGAAAACATCAGCATTCCTCCTTTCGGCTGTCCGTCGTGTGGCAATTCCAACATTGACGGGACGATCATGTGCTTCAGATGTGAGCTTCGTCTCGAGCCGCACTCCAACGTCAGCCAGGCCCTTGAGAATGGCAGAGCCAAGAGAGTTGCCGAAGGGTGAGCCTATGGATTACAGAACATTGCAACCTCGCGGCTTCGTGAATGCCAACAGGGCCACCGGGCACAAGAAAGACAGGAGCGCAGGATCCGGACCGGCGGCTATCCGACAACAAGCCGCAAAGTACCTAGGAAAGGCCTTGAAAGACGGGGTGCGCCCGGTCATGGAGCGCCGCTCTCGTGATCCCTTTCAGTCCTACAACAACGCTAGGTTTGGGATCTCGATCAACGGCCTGGAGCGTTGATGATTTCGCCAAGATGTGGATCGCCAATCCTCCCAGGACGCGCCAGATGATCGAAGACCGAACGGGCTTCGAAGGGTCTGCGAAAGTGTGCTTCTCATTCCCGTCGGAAGTCCGAGGACCTTACGTTGACGAACCACTGCTACGCGGCATTTGTTGACCGGTTCTACAAGTTGGATGAGGCAGCACTACTTGCTTTCGCGGTGCACCGCAACGACTGCACCCTTGAGATCTTGGGCTTCAGTGGTCGCGTGCTAAAGCCAGCAGGTCCCGCAGTGCAGATCCTTGCCCGGATTGTCGGCTTCTTTCAAGATGAGGTCCATTATGCCGTCGAAAGGGGGGAGAGCGTGCCTGAGTTGGTCATCCCACAAGGCGAGGAGCTTCGCATCCCGGAAGGGCTTGCCACTCTCGGCGATCGCCAGCTCAACGAGCTGTTGGTGAACAATAAGTTTGCCCGCGTGATGCCAAGTGGCGGAAATGTCAATGAGAGGACGGGATATGCTGTTCGTGCTGGGGCGACTACCAGGGGCCGTTCTGCCCAGCCACCATTTCCCAAGGCTAGACCTTCCACAGGAAGCGCATCAGCTGCACATCGTTCTGGTTCGGTACCTCCCAAGTCTCGTGCTCGTCCACGTGAGCCATCCCCAGCTGTTGCGGCAACAGGGATGCGGCCAACTGAGCCGAATTATCCGCCGCCCGGGAGGGATGTGCCAGCTTCATCTTCTGCGGGATCCAATCGTCCGCCCGAGCCTGCTGCTCCGCCGACACATGGACACGTCGCAGCTAAGGAAGCTCGCCACGATGCTCTTCTGTGGGCGAGACTTAAGGCGAGCCGCGACAGAACGGTTCCTCGGAGGATGGAAGCGGGCGCAGTCCCGCGCTTCGGCCATCCAGACGACTTTCTCATCTTGACTCCCGAGCACACAAGCTACTTCCTTGCCTTGCTGGCTGGAAGGAGACGCAGAATGGCGTCCGGCTCTACTGAATGCCGCGTCTTGTGCACTTCGGTAGTAGCTATTTTAATTTGGTTCTGCAGTGTCTTTTCTTTCTCCACCCTGACGGGTCGGACGCAAACGGCCATTCTTTTGCCTCCCTGACGAGACGGCCTGGTAAGGGGCTGGCCGGATGGGATTCTTTGCGTCAGGAGTGTTGAGATCGTGACTAAGAGCTTCTTTACGCCTGAGGTGTGAAATTTTCAGTCTTGTGTAATTTCGCATTGCAACATTTCGTCAATAGTCGGTACTTCTACTTCCGCCTCTCTTCGCTGCCCTAAGAGGCGCGGGGGGGTGTTTTGTTTGTAGATATATGTATGTACTGACGACTTTGACGTGTTGCGGGGCTCAAGCAAAAAGCAGCGCACTTTCGTGCTTTCCTGCGTAATGTATAAAGATCCGATAGATTCAGCATTCTGCCTTGAGGTCGTTCGATCACCGTCTCGAAAACAGGTCTTGGCGATGAATCCTCAGTGACTTTTGTGCAACTGTACTTGGCTGAACAAATGTTCTCTTCCGAGGGTGGCTTGGCAGGGCACGGTGTTTGATTTGGAGATGCTTCCTGGGCTGGAAAGCGACTGTTAACACTCTGGACAGGTGCTCCATTTTCGCCTTCCAGAACGTTCTCCCTTGCAGCTGGGCCATCACCCGGTGCAACGCAGAGCCGGCATCTCGGTTCTCGTTCTTGACGCTACATGGTATTCACCGGAGCCTGACATGTTTGGATGCTCGCGTTCATCACTCTGCTGGCAGAATTCCTTCAGCGCCCTTGTTTGCGTGTCACTGATAGTGTCTATGTCCAGGAGATGCGCAGACAGACCTCGGGGCGGTTGCAGTATCATGACAGCCAGCTGACGGTAGCGTCAATCAGCCAAACTTAAAGTGTCTAGTTTCGCGACTTCCATTTGGAGATTCTTGTTGTTGCAGAGGTACGACCCCGCAGCAAGCATCAAGCCCCTTGAGGCTTCCTGCTCCACGAAGTTAAAAGGTCCAAACAAAGTTTAACGGTTGGGTGACACGCGAGAGCAGGGATTCGATCGGATGCCATCCGACTGACAGGCTGCTTGGGCTTCTCAGCGAATGGGCTAATTGCACTCACTTTCCTTTTGCTGCAGCAATCTGAGAGCATTGCACGCAAACCTTGATGACTTGCGCCAGGCATCGGGCAGAAACTGCCAGCAGGCTTGTGCCCACAGCTGCTTCGACGGCCTGCGCGAAGAGCAGCCGCCTCTTCCGGCCCCTGGGGCGGCATTCGGTCACAGACCGTACTAGGCTTCACTAAGATGCAGACGAGCAGGCCTGAAACAGCAATGCAAGAATCGCGAGGCCTTCTAGGCTCCAGGGACGATGCTAGTTTAGAAGTACGTTCCGGGCTTCCCCCATGTTGCCCAAGAGTTGGGGTGGGTTGTCCTTGCCCTGGAAAGTCGGCGTTGTGGACCTTGAGGACTCGTCGGGGTCACGGCCGGTACGAAGCGATGCTCGCCCCGCGAAAGCTCTGCAGCTGTTCTGCCAGCCTGCCCGAGTGCCTGGTAGCGGCCGGGGGCTTTTCTACTTTAATGCAGAGTGCGGGGCTTCGGAGTGTTTCGTGCGCAGAGACTTCTCAGGTCTCCGGATAGCAAGGCCTGGCAAGGACTTCTCCGTAGTTTAGACTCTATGATGTGCTGGAGGCCTGGAATGCTGCCCACTGCCACGGGCGGGTGCTGGCTGTCATACGGGTTCTGGAGCTCTAACTGACCCCCCTCTAAAGAGTGCCCATTGTCCTGCTGGGCCCCGCGCAAGAGCAGAATCAGCACAATTTTGAGGCCACTTCTGCTTTGAAGGCCGTAAACGTCCAGAAATCGCTATGTTTGGATGTCTAGGGTGCCAAGCCGGCCTGCGCCGCAAGGCCCGTGAGCAGCTCGTGTGCCCGCACCTGCCACAAAGCCTGCAGCGCGAGGAGTTCACCAATCCTGCTTGTGAATTCTTGACTATTGCGCAGGATTGAAGGACGGTCATGCAAGAGGGGCGCCTCAATCACGTTCCAGCACACCTTGGCCAGTCACGGCACCACGGCCTGCATGCTCATGACGACAAAGGAGGCTGAAACACTGAAAGCACCAGTGCTCTCCCTGAGAAGGCAACCTTCATGCTCGTGTAGAAGAGGGCCGGGCTTTCGGCCGCAGAGCGCCAGGCAGCCCACCACAGCCACCTCACGATAGGCGTAGGCCGAAATGAAACATCTGCGCTGGTCATGGCAGGGCTGAATGTCCTTTTGCAGTGTGCAGCAGGTGGACACAGGAGCCCGCACAGGCAGCGGGGAATCGTATCGATTCGCTGCATTACAGTGCCAGAAATGCATTGACAGTGACAAAATCATCCGTGGGACATGTTTTTGCAGCGTGAGGAGGTCGTCCAAACAGATGCGGCCAGGACACCCCTTCTCCGTGACAGCTTGACGAAAGCTTAAGAAGGTTGTTATTTGGTCTAGATGGAGACGGTCATTGTCAAGGTGCAAAGATGAACAGCCAAACTCTAGTCAGAAGTGGGGTCTGCATCAACTGGCCACATGGATAACTCTGGATAACGCGCGTAGTTAATCGTTCACGGGCGTCGGCCTGCAGAAGGTCCTGCTAGCGGAGGCCAGTCCGCCCCAAACGACGGGCCCGGGCAGCATTTGGCAGTTTGGGTCTGGGGCATGTCATGTGCCCACAAGCCCAAAGATGGCTTGAGAAGTGCGCGTGAACCCAAAGCAGAAAGCTGCTAGCTCGTACCACTTCGCCAGCAGTCAGAAAAAGAACGGCTGTTATCTAAGTCGCCAGCTTGCCACGGGGCATGCGGGGAGGTTTCAGGCACTTCGGCGTACCTCGGATGTTAGTTGACCTGGCTCAAGTGCTTCATGCATTCTCAATCACACCCGTTTCCTGCGATACTTACCATGGCGCGTGTTCAAGTGATGCCCTGGGCAGTCATCCTGCTTGCAGGATGTCTTCAGAGCTGTGAGGCAGTTCGCAGCCAGATGACTTTCAACATTGTGTCGCTTGCAGACTTAGACATGTCGCCGACCCTGGAGATGGACGAAGCGACACTGGACTCGATCGGATGGCCAGAACACGCTGCCCACCGCCACGGCGGCGAATTGAGCTTGCTTGACCGCTCTGTAGTGGCGGGCCACGAGTCCGATGCAGGCATGGTGTTGGCATTGAAGCCGTTGAAGGCTGAGGATTACAGCCCGGCGGAGTTGGCAAAGGAAGTGGTGCCCATGCTCAGGAATGTCGTCAGGTCAGAGTTTGGAGAGCTGGATGGGTGGCTGAAGGAAGAGGTCGCCTTCAAGAAGACCGTGAAGTTTGCCCGTTTCGATATCACCCAAAACTTCATTGACTTTCACAACGCTGGCAGCTTGCTGCAAGTGGCATTGGCGGCAGCAGGAACCATGCCGTGCTCGGTGCCAATTGGCGTTACCCTCTCCAACTATGCGGATCTGGTGCACAAGTCCTGGGAGATGGGCCATGCCTTCGTGTCTGCCTCCGTGGAAGCTGTCGACTCACATCGAGTTGCGATTCTAGCCCTGGCCAAGAACAAGCCCCAAATAGTTATGCGGCGATTGCTGGGCTGCAGCGCCCTTGCCCAAAAAATGGTGGATGGAGCCACACAGATGGCTGAAGCGGTTAGTGGTTTGGTCACTGAGACGAAGCAGGGTCTCAAGAAGGCATTGGAAGACAGACGTGCCAATGCCGAGGAGATGCGCAACCTCAAGAAGCAATTTGCAGACTTGGATTCAAACATCGCTGGGATGCAAGCAGAACTAGAAGATCTTGAAAGCAACATTGCCGACGCAAAGGTTGAGGAGGAGAACTTCGCTCGCCGTGCCGACGCCGCTCGCAACAAGGCGCAGAACATGCAGATGGTTGGGACCATTATGGGGAGCCTCACAGAAGCATTAACAAGTTACGCCAATCCTGGTGCCAAGAGCATCGGTCAGCTCATGCAACCGGGGCCCACGCCATCGACGTCACCAGCACAGCCTGCTCCGAACAAAGAGCCTGCTCCAGACAAGGCAGCTGCTGTAAAGAGTGTCGTGGAGCCCCTGTCACGCGAGGTTTCTCAGATCGAGGAGAAGCTGGCGAAGGCAAGCGAAGACGACGCGGTTGCTCTACGACAGCAGTTGTCGAAGGCCAAAGAAGCGCTTCGCAATGGTTACAAGGAAGTGAGGGCGATGTTCACCGAGCAGGCAAAGACGCTAGACGATAAGGAGGCTGCCGTCCATGCAAATCGTGTCGAGTTGCAGAAGGATCGGCGGAAAACTAACGCCGAGCTGCAGAAATCTCTTGTCGCGCTCAGCCACCTCAAGGAGGAGAAAAGTGAAGTTGCCAAGTCTGCGGAGCTCCTGAACACGGTGGTCAAAACTCTTGGCAAGGTGCAAAAGACCTTCATGCTCACGGCGACTTTCTGGAAACTCATCAAAACCAGCTATGAGAAACTTGCTAGCAAGTGGCTGAAGGATTCGCTGGAGGAGGCTATAGAGCTTGAGACGCTCGTCCCAGACTTGGTTGCATCCACTACGGACTGGATTACACTGGGAAGCGTGAACTACATGGCAAGGCTGGGCATGAGCCAGGCCGCCGAGCATGTTGACAACATCTTGAGTGACCTCCCTGTAAAGGAGGCCGCTGCCAACATGGTGCTTCAGACAGCGGGAAGCCTCGCGCAGTCGCTTCAAGAAGATGAAGCCATCCTCCAACTGGAAGAGCCAGAAAAGACTGTCTGAGCAGCCAAAATAGCTGCAGGCATTTATGACTCCACACAAAGGTGATATACAGTGTGACCAGCTCGCGACTCGCGACATGAAATCGCGCGAGGAGCTCGTTGTCGAGACATGACATTAATATGTGGCGGATAAGAAAAACGTGATTTCCTGCTTAAACGAGTCTAGACTTCCGGACGGGCATGCCAGCACACAGGGGCAGTCTTGGGCCAGTCAAGTTCCTGTGCATCCGCAGCCAGCGTTCCAGATGGCAAAACTAGGTCTACGTAGGATTTGGCTGCCAAACAGATTCCATCGTGCATTGATGCCAGGAAGGCATCCGCAAGCACTGCCCCGTATCATGCCAGGAAAGCAGCGGAGCGCTGCACATGCCGCGCGATGCATCTGTTGTGTGCCTTGCCGGCTTCTGGCTTTCACGTGTTTCACTACTGGTCTTCAACCCGTTTACGCAGTTCGCGACAGCACTCTGGAGTCTGTCATGTTCTCTGACAGTGCACGGTCAGTCGTCGACCTTGCGGGAGAAGAAACAGATGATTCCGGGATGCACAAGGAACCCAAGGTGCTGTTGCAGCCTGAGCCAAGCAACTCAAAAGCGGGTGAAGGGGCTTCTACGTTCAGGCAGGTCGATCGCCCCAGCAGCGCCGCTCATGAACAGACAGGTTTCCATGTTCGTCTGCTTTCAATTGCTTGGATTGTGCTGGGCAGACGCCCACCGGCTCTTCAAACTCCGGGCAACCAAAGCTTTCGTGGCAATTTGAAAGTAAACCACCCGAAGCCTCATGCAGCACCGTCTGGCCTCACACTTGGCCGGTAAGCGAGCCCTGAAGCCCGAAGAACCGCCTCTAGCATGCCCAGGCCAGGGCCAGGTCAGCCGTCGGGTGCTCACGAGCTGCCTGCAGGATCGGAGCAACCGGAAACTCTAGACGATGGCTTTGTTTTGCTTTGCAGACTGGTCATCTGATGTCACAGGGTATTGGGCTTAGGCATCGGGGCATGCCATGCTTGTATACTGCGAACCCTAAGAGCTCATGCACCCAAGCTATCCCAAGCTCTCAAGAGCTGCGATCGATTGCTGACAGGCCTTTGGATGGCGCACTGCCGGGTATCCCGAGCACTTGCGAGCCGGAGCGAGAAAGAGTGCGTCGCTTACTGGCCGTCGCAACAGCTGAGACTTGGGCAGAAGTTCGCTGCAGAAATGCTGGTGGACCGTCGGGCTTGGACCTGTGCGCGCTGTGCAGGACCCCGGAAGCTGGTGGAAGCAATGCGGCTGCATCGGCAACAGCTTCGCAGGCTTCTGCATCCAGCAAGCTCATCATTGAACGATATGAAAAGCTGAGTGGGCAAGACAGACTTGCCTTCCGTTACATGTGCTGGATAAGCAGATAGCAGATGCTGCTGGCAACGTCTCAGGCAGCACCTGCGAAGGAGTACGACCTAGCGCTGGTGTCAGCTCCTGCATCCACATCCTGGCCACTAGGTCAGTACATGCCGTGGCTGGATCAGGCTTTGGTCCTGATACTCCCTGCATGTATGCTGTGCCCTGGCCAGGAATGGTTCCGACGCCGCCCGAACACCCACGCCGAGCACCGAAGTCATGCCGCATCTGAGCAGATGACCTCAGCTAAACTGTCGTTGTATTCTGATTCTGTTCCCCCTCCCCGAAAGGATTGTGGTGTCACTACTTCAGGTCTTGCTCTTGCTGTAGAGATGGTGCCTTTGGCACGCTGCCAAGAATGATCAGCTGGTGGCCCTCCACCTACTTTTGCGCTGGCCTTGGCCTCACTCACGCTATCTGCTGTGTGCGACTCACATGCGCATAGCCGATCAGTGTGACACCACACATTGCAAGTGAGTGGTTATTAGCTTCGGGTGGTGCATCTCCCAAATGTCTGGTGTTCATCTGATGCCGTCTGGAACCCCGTGCTCTGTGAAAATGGGGACAAATCGAAACACAGTGGCTACGCAGCGATCGGCACCACGACCTGGTAGGAAGGAAAGGTGACCAGTCATGGTCACAGCACAAGCACAGAGCTCAAATCGAAAGCCAGGCACTGAAGCTCCAGCTCAACCAAGCATTCCCCAGACATCCCCAGACTCTGCCTTCAGCACGACGGGACCGACACTTTCTTGCCACCTGCTTACGCAACAGCACGCTGCAATATTGATGACGGGATCCACACTCAGGATTCAGGATCACAATGATTAGGCTGACATCGCCATAGGCTTCACCAAGCTTCGAGGCACACTTCTGCATCGATTTCCCATCCGGCTTGCAATCACCGGACCGTCGAGGCGCAGCCCAAGGTTTGCCAATCCGGCTCTCCGCGCCCTCCATGCTGCGGTCCTTCATCTACTGGTTTGCAGCACAGCATCTGCCATGAAACCCGGGATGGTGAACCAGGGATCTGATATGTTTGATTTAGCGCTCAGGGGCCCAGGGGTTCAGGATTCACCCAAGTCAACGTGCAATGGCTATGCACGAGCTTTCCGGTCCATTCGGCGATCAGCGGATGTTACATCGTGCTCTTTCAGAACAAGATGTGCGTCTTGCAGCTGACTTGAAAGCTGCCTGCGCCCATCAGCAAGGTTTTTGCACAGTGAGATTGCGAGAAGTATTCTTGCGATTCGAGATGGCACAGCATGCTGTCAGTGAATTTCTTCCCGCAAAGCGGTTGCAACAACGGCAGCACACTGCTGTGACCAAGGGCCGGAGCCAAAAGATGGGCGACGAAAATGCCAAAAATGGATAAGATGGCAGCCTCTGTGTTTCTTGTATTCTGCTAGTGATGTTTGGATGAGAAGCACGAAGACTGTCTTTCTGACGTTGTCTGTGGCTCTGTTCCAGCTAGATAGTCGTTTGCAACTCTATCCTTTGATTGTTGCTATGGACCCACTCTGGTTGTTCTTGGCTCTCTGCTGCCACGGTGTTATCGCAGCCCGTGTTGCTGAGCAACTACTTGGATTGCAACAGCGTGATGATACGGAAAGAAACTCGCTGTACATTCTGTGCCCTTTCCCTCGGAAGGAATGCAGGAAGAGCGACCTTGAGCACAAAGCATTGGATGCAAAGAAGGACTTAGAGGAGAGGCTGAAGAAGAAAGGCGTAGTCTATACCGGATTGAATCGCGTTCCCACAACCTTCAAATCCATCAAGTACATCACTGCTGGTGACAAGATCACGGTGCAGGAACATGACAGCCTCGTGGTCATGGGGCACGGTTCAAAAGGAGATACCAAAGTCGGTATCTTTGACTACGACCCAAAAGGTGAGAATCAATGTGGGCGTCACAGAAAGGACGATTCGGCCAAGGACATCATTGAGCGCCTGAGCTTGCTCGAGGCTGAAAACGCCGACGAAGTTTACTTCTTGGTTTGCTTTGCCAAGAATAAAGATCATCTAGCGCAAGCGTGGCGAAAGCATGTGAGAGACAAAGGACATGACCAGCAGGAGGTGTTTGGTTCAACTGAAGCATGTGTTGGCTTGACTTCGATGAAGGGGACACGGTTGTGTGAGCCTTTGTCGCCACTATGATGGTCGTGGTTCTCATGTAGATCGAGCTATTTGATGCCGAACCTGATGCGGTCAGGTGCTCAGAAAGGTTCATGCACCACATGCAGGTGCAACTGCATTTCACTTATACCTATCTGAGGTGATGATGCCCATATACTGAGATACTTGTGGAGGGCAAAGGATCCCCTGTTCGAAGGGGCATGTTCACCGGCCTTCCTCGAACGACCGGGCTGCTTCCAAATGGTCTATGTGGAGGATCGGGGAGGGAAGGGTGAGAGACCGGAACTTTGTCATGCTCTTCGTGAAGGAGAGGCGCTGACGCAGACCTTTCCATGAACGTGTGCAGCGATGATCAAACCGACGCTGACCCGCTGGTCGCCCTGTGCCGAAATGCATGGCATCCGTTCCTGATGCTAGACAAGTCACCAGCTGCGACCCTGCAGCTGTGATTGGCTCAGCTTCAGATATTTCAAGATGATGCTGGTACTCATGAGCATCTTACCTTGGGCATACACAATGTCACAAGCCACACATGGGGCGGAAGCATGCCCCCGCCCAGTGACACACGTGACACACGAATCTCAAACGCGTTTACAGTCACCCCGGGTATACCAGTAGCAGCTCGGGTGAACTCATCAGGGTGTCACTGATTCCCGATCGGTTCTTCTTGGCCGGAATGACTTGCATGGGGCTGAGGGAGCCTGGCGTTGTTTTACCATATTCTATCGAAAACATGCGAGCGCAGCGAGTCGAGGCAGTGGGAGCACGGCGCTGATCGCTTTCCTGCAGTTGAGCTTGAGGCAGGTCCTGTTCATTCCAGGAACCGAGAATGATACGTTCCTTTTGTCATGCTGTTTCTCTGGCCACGAGAAAGGGAACGGCCAAAGCGCACCTGGCATCACTGCCACCAGCACCACAGCAGTGCTGCTGCTCGTGCTGCTGATAACCCTCGACGAGCTGTGCGCTCCGTGAGACGCTTCAGCATGAAGATTGCATACTGCATGGCAACTTTGGAAAGTGGCACGAGGGTTCGGGATGACAGTGCAGCGATACCTGCGTGGCTGGCTGTTACTGTTGCATGTCACGCAAATCAGTTGTAGGATGACAAGCGTGGGGCATTTGGACTAGATCGGGCCCATCTGCCCCAAGCTGTGGGCATCATGGGGCAAGGAAGCCTGGGCCATGATGTTCAGCTACTGTCAGGCTCACATCCGGCTTTAACAGCTCGACGGAGATCATCATACTCAATGCTTCTGATCCTCTCTTTTCGGATGCGAATGTGCGCATGAGCCAGGCCAGAGATGTGCACCTAAGAGTCGTAGCGGCAAGCGGACGTGCCCTGGTGCGCAGGATGGCAGCTGTGGGGCGCCTCGGCTACGTTGAACTCCGCGTAGGAGAGCAAGTGCAGCGGAAGCTCCCAGCTCCCCAGCTCCAGGCTGGAGCAGTACCGGGTTCGGTGAGACCGGCAACGCGAGGCCCGCACCGAGAGAACGAGAGGGAAGAAGGACGAGAAAGAGAGAGAGAGCTAGAGAGAGAGAGAGAGAGAGAATGGCATTGCAAGAGAAAGAAGGAGAGCCACTCTAGTTCCCACTTCCCTGTTTTTCCGTCGGACCGGTCTTTCTTGTTGCCGTGGTATTTGTGTAGCAGCATCCGACGTGACTGGACCCCTCTTCCGAGTTCCTGCGCCAGGTCAAGATCTTTTGTCTTTCTTCTTGTGCACCTCCGCTACCTCTGCATGACTACATGCTCTTGACTCATGAACACACGGAGGGTCCGGTTCAGACTTCAAGTCGTTACCCACTGGCAAGTGGTCTCGCGCCGCCCAAGCGTTCACAACTGCTTTGAGCCAGTCGCCTCTTTCGGCAGTTTCGTGGCTCTCGCTCGTCCATGCAACTCAAACCGTTCGTGAGATGCTGGTCAGGCTTCAATACTGCTAGTGGTGCGAGCTGATTATTGGAAGCGGTGCCAGCTCATGCCGAAATACAGGATGTACCAACATGGGGTATGGGCAATCTGTTTTTTCCTTCGGCGTCCCTTTCGGTCTTGGCCAGCGACTCGCAGAATCCGACCTACAGCAGTGTGCGACCGCGCTTGTTGGGCACGGCGCTTCGGTCCCGGTCGTTGATGCACTTGCTCCAACGATCGTCTTCAAGCACTAGTGTCTCTGGCGTAAGCTTTGCTGACGTGTGCAGGACGCACAGAGGGGGAGGGAGGGAAGGAGAGGAAGACAGAAGCAATTGCCGGCACCTTGTGGGCTGCATGAATCTCTTTCTGAGGTAGAGAGATACACCCACCCGACGGTGTTAGTGCCGCCTTCCAGCTGCAAACAGTAATGCTAGGTTTTGGAAAGGCTGAGAGTGCAGTGAAGCTCTTGCCCAGCAGATCAGAGTACGAAGTTTAAGGACTGGACGTGGTCCGACAGTGGGACGCAGTACTGCGCCACTGATAGCTGTGCTTACAGAGGGGACCTTGGTCGGGAGCCTTACATGAGAAGTCAGGATCGCCCCAGACGAACAAGTTTGTCCTGCAGCCGAGGCTCTGGGTCCTTCTGGTGCCCCTTGGCACCTGGCGACGACACTGCTGAGCGCTTGAAATGCGAGTGCGAGCCGGATGCCGAGAGACCCTGATCTAGCCCGCACTTCGGAAAACTTGTCGACATCGACTTTCAGCTATCTGGGCCAATCCTGGAATCTGGCTAAGGCAGTGCCCCTGTCCCGCAGGGACCGGTGGTTTCCAATGCGTCAACTGTGTCAGCCCCTCGCATGCCCGCGTGGAAATTTTTGCTGGACAGCAACACGCTGCTTCAGGAGACAGACGAAGGTTGTGGAGAGGGTGGCAAATGCATGAGGCAGGCACCAGCGATCGATAGAAGCGAGGCGAACGCTTGCGTGATCCGACGCTTTTCTGAGCAGGTCCATGCTCTTGGATGGCCTGCATGACAAGTGGCATCCTTATCCCGTCTCAGACGCCAAATGACGTCGGTGTCGGGAGCAGCAAAGCGCTCGACGGAGGCAGTTCTCATGCAAATTCTCGGAAGAACTGGAGCGGTCTCCCACGTACCGTCTGTTTTGGCACCGACCTAAGCCTGCTCTTTGACACATGTCCCACTGATCACCATCATCCGACATGAAGCATTGCGTCTCTCAGTGAATCACACTGCATGGTGCCAGTAGTGTTCCCCAATTGAGAGGAGGGCATACTTTCAGCGCCTCCTTGGCTTTGCGAGGTCTGGCGGTTGGTCGAGTCCGCAATTCTTTGCGCAGTACTTTCCCTCGCAGGGAATCGCGCGCTTGGCGTCTTGATCGCATGCGGCATGAAGTGTTCCTTCTAAGTGCCCCAACCATTGGAAATGGTGGGTGGGCGCTGTGAGATTATAGTTATTCGACAGCCCTTGCCGCAGAGGACATCGTCAACACAATGTGCAGCCACCGTCAGCCTATCCTTATGCAGCTGACGCCTCAGCTTTCAAGCTCGTGCTAGCTGGGTGGCCGTAAAGGCTAGCCCATGAGGTGTGGGTGCACAGAGTGCGATTCCCTGCTCGACGATATCGACCCGATCACCAACGAGCAGAGTGGAGTGTGGAGCTCAGCGTTAATCTAGACATGTCGTTGAGTGAGTTGCGCGCTCTGCACCAAGGCCTGCACTGATGGGAATGTGCCAAGCCCTTGTGCCCGCTGCGAGAAGTGTGAGCAGGGGCCTTTGTCATACACTCGGCGGAGAACATCCGTTTGTACAGGTGCAGAAACACTGACTGAGCCTACAGAGACTATCTCAAGCAAGAAGACATGCAACCAGCTATTGTGGGAGTTTTGACACCAATCCTACAACTCGATTTGTATGCTCCGAGGACTTGGGTTAGCGAATGCGAGCGGTAGTGCAGCACTGATCAAACACGAGAGATGTCTCGAGAACTTTGAGAAGTCCGAGCTTGCTAGGCACGAGAAATAGGCAAAGCGTCAGTGTCCATGCACGGTTTTGCCACAGGTGTACTTATCCGGATGATTCCTGGCTTTCCTCCTTCACAAGGCCTTGCATTCTCGCAGCAGCCTTTGATAGTGCTGCTTCAACAGAGCCTGTGATAATGCTTCTTCAACAGAGTCGTATTGTGCTGTTCAAAATTAACTGCGATTGCCAGAGAGGATCATCGTCGACGGCATCCGCCGTGGTGTGCTGATCGGTTGTGAGGTGGAGCTCGGTAGCAAAACCTCAGATAGTGCACCGATGATTCTTTAACTTGAGGCTTAGGCTTCAGTGACTCCAGAACACGTTCCCCCCACTGCTTCCCAGTAGCCCGGTGCATGCGTGAATCTGAGCAATTGAGCATCGTGGCCTTAGCAGGACACAGGTTTCTGTCACGCCGTACTGGATGCTTCGGTCTCAGATTACTTGCAAGACAGATCGCAGGGTCTCTCAAGCGCTTCGACTTCGGACACTGAGGACCTCCCTGCCCCGCTGTCTTTCGACTGTCAGACGGGCATGTGCATCCCAGACAACTCGACAGAAGAGGCTGGAATCTACATGCCGGAGAGTTACAACGACTTGTCAGTTGGATCGAGGGAAGGGCGTCACAGTATGGGGAGTCTGCAGTTGCAAACTCACTCCGGAGTGTTGTTCGGGCCCATGGCTTTGCCCGAGCTTTCGGCCTCGCACGAGAACACGGACGATGGGCAGTTCCAAACAGTCTGGTACAAAAGTGCTGGAGCTTGGAGCCTGACTAGATGTGACTGGATCTGGGACCATTCAATCCCCGACGGAACAAGAAAGCCTTCTCAAAAAGTGTCAGTATAGGTCATTGGCGTGTGCATGTATTCGATGTTTCGTATGGAGACGGGAAGTCAAGCGACAGCTGCAGGCTGCTGCGCAGCATGCAACTGGACGTATAGTCGAGAGGTACTGAAAGCACCGAAGCACACCAATTCTCCTCTGCAGGTGCGCTCATAACATCCCGAAATCTCTCATAACTATGCTTAATTCCCAGCGGTCTCAGCAAAGCTTGCGTAAAGGTCTGAGCGTAGATTCTGCTATTTATGTGCAAATCGGCATGTCGCCATTGCGAGCGACTATCACGCTTTCGCTGTCGAAAACAAGTGTCTCCTTTCAGCGACTGCCTATCGTCGTTTGATGCAGCCTGCCCGCTTCCCATAAAAAGTCAGCTGAACAAAACGGAGTAACCGAGCCTTGCCCAGGCTTGTTGCGGAGCTCAGACCATCCCAGCATGTGCAGGTGGTTATTGCTCGACGATCGATTGACCTCTTTGGTCAGTGGACAACCGTGGCGTTGCTGATTCTGTCGCTGGTTGTGTTGCTGTCTCTGCCGGCGGCTTAGAGCCAGGGGTGATGGGGTATCGTAGCATGGTGTCTGTCTGATGACTCCAGGTTCGTGCTGCTCTGCGTGGTCTTGGATTGTCTGAGAACGAAGAGGCATGGGAGCAGCGATCGCCGCACAGCCCGGCGTTCAATTCGGGGGGAGGCTGGCCGAGGGAGCTCTGCTGGACATGCCGGGCGCGCCGTTGCCCGCCATCGCCGCGGCGCAGGCGGCGCTCGGAGGCCAGGCGGCCAGGCCGAGAACTTCCGCGCCTTCCGCACTCGCATGGCCGCTGTGTAAGCCAGGCTTCGGCAGCACGCCGCCAGGCCGAGACCGGACTGCTCCGTCTCGTCGTACGTCGTGGGGCGGGGGAACACGCGGGGGAACACCGGGACCGCCCGAGAGGTGCGACACTGGTCTTTAGCTGGCAGAACATCAACTGCGCTCGAAAGGATAAGCAGGCGGGCGCTAGTGGCTAGCAGCTTTTGTCACGGCACTGTCGGGTCTTTAGTTACTGCAAGAGAAGCGAGAGGTCCTGCAGAACGTCTCGGGTTCAGTAGAGGCTGGGCAGAGATGGAAAGAAACTCGCCTTCAGTCTGGGCTCTGAGTCTGAACTTGTTGGAACTGCAGTCGCTCTCCTCTGGGCGCGGCGCTCTGGTGGCGCTACTGGGGCCTTCTGGAAGTGGAAAGACGACGCTCTTAGAGGCTCGACGGGGCAGTTGTTGTCAAGGTGCCATGTCCAGTGAGGAGCAAAGCTGCTTTGCGATTCGGTGATCCCCTCTGTTGGCAGGCACTGGCTGGCAGGATGCAGCCGGGGGACTCCGGAGAGGTCCGCATCAATGGCAAGGCGCCCCACGAAGCTGCCAGCTCTTGGGTTGAGGGCAAGTGGCCGTTGAGGAGATGTCTGCCAGAAGCCGCCGGCGCCACGTCTCTTTCGTCTATCAGGCTGGCTCACGCTGTCTACGTCTACGCTTTCTTCCGAAAGGGCCGGGCGGCCGGGCCACCATTTCGTGCTCAGGATGAGATCCTCGGCGCCACGCTCACCGTTCGGGAGGCACGTCCCATCACGTCCCCAGAACTTGGGTCTTGGGGCTCCCGCGCGAAGTTGACCTTCGCCGAGTGCAGCCCAGAGGCCCTCGAGTTCTCCGCAGCCTTGCGGTTACGGTCGCTCAGTGCCCAGCACCCAGAGGAAGCAGAGGAAGGCAAGTAAAGGTGCAGATCCTGAGTGGGGGATGCGCCGACGATGGGACATCGTGTGCGGTTTCGATGTGCTCAGGCTACCAAACGGGCTGGGCGGGTCTCTTGGGCCCTGAAGATGCTGAAGCTGGAGGCCCTGCATCACAGCACCACGGTGCAGTTCCACGACCCCTGGCCCCTGGCCATCCCTGATTGTCAGCAGGAAGTTGCCGATTCAAAGATCGGAGACAGCCATAGACGAGGCATTTCCGGAGGAGAGCGACGCCGTGTGGCGATAGGCAAGGATGATGATGTCTTGTCGGGTTGGTTTTTTTGTTCTGTTTTGATTGCCGGCAGTCTCATTCGGCAGGGGTGGAGTTGGTAGTATCACCTCCGATCATGGTGCTGGACGCAGCTGGGCTCAACCTCAAGCCTGGCATGTGGCAGTCACTGCCGGAGGGATGTTGAGCGGACAAAGCAGCCGAGGAGCCGACAACTGGTCTTGATGCCAGCTGCGCCTTGATGCTCGGCCGGGTTTTAGCACAGCTTGCCGAGGCAGGCGGCAGGAGTAGCCGAGCAGCCCTTCGACGATTTCCTCTCTCCTCTCTCATGGCATCAGGGGGGTCGCCTGCTGATCTGCAGCATGCACCAGCCGCGGGCGGAGCTCCTACTGCTCTTCAATGCCAGGCCGAGAGTCCGAGATCTCGGAGAGTTCCGAGTTCGGCTCTGCTTCTTGGATCAGGCTTGACCTGGGCCAGTACGGAGACCAGCTGACCAAGACCACGGACCCCTGGTCACACAAGGAGCCGACGATGGAAGTTGAAATTTACCATGATGCCCCCACACGCTTTGGACTCGCGCAAGGAGGAGGACGACTGGAGCCCAGAGAGGGTGGTGCCCAACGAAAGGCTCTCTCGCCCCTTTGATTGGCTTTTTGGGGTGTGCACGGCATGTTTGCGGCCAGGCTTGGGCAGGACGAGGACACTTCGAACGTGAACCCAGAGCTCGTGGAAGAAATCAAGAAAGTAGTTAGCAGGCGCGGCGTCAGTTTGGGCAAGGACATGGGGCAAAGCACCGCGCAGCACATGGTCAGGCAATCCTTTGGAAAGCAAACTGGCTGCATGGCGGGCTTATTCGCCGGCTTTGACGATGACCTCTCCGATGCCTTGGCAGCATGCTCGTATTCGGATGCTTGTTTGGAGGGGCGGTGACAGACGCCAGCCGAGGCCATTGCCTCCCGTGCGACAGCGGGTGCATCTCAAGCCAGCCTGGCCGTGCAGGCGAGCAGTGCTCGAGCAATGAATGGTCAATGCACTTTGAGAGTGGTGGCCGTGGCATGCACCTGACTGCAGGTCTTCCTCCTATGGCAGCGTAGCCTTCGCGAGGCAGACGAGTGCAGCAGCAATTGCTCGTGAGCGTTTTGCCCGTCCGAATTTGGTGAAGGCCACCCGCGGCAACTATGCAGGGGTTGTGGCTGCAGTTGTGGTCCTGACCATTGCTTTCCTCGTGGCAGCCCTATGTTTGTGATTTCAAGTGGTGTTCGAAGGATGCGATTTCCTCCAATTCAAGCTGCAAGCCAAGGTCGGTTTCACGTTCAGGAATCTGGATACAGGCCTCGTGACTCAATTCCTGCATCATTGAATCATCGGACATCCCAACCATCTGAATCTAAACAATGTGCGTACATAGCAAACCACTTGTGTCACTTGTGCTTACCTGCGATGCCTTTGTGTGACAGATCGAGGCATTGCGGGAGTACAGAACCGCTTTGGCTCCATTTTCTTCACTCAGCTCTTCTTCAGCTTCTTCGGGCTGCAGGCGGCCTTTTAGCGCATCTTCGGTTCGGCGAAACCAGCGCTGCTGTGGGCAGGCCTGCACCCTTTGGTATGTGGACCGTGATCGACTTGATCGTGAAAGAGCCTCGAAGCTCTACAATGCAGGGGGCCCCTGATGTATAGAAGCCAGATTCTCGAGCCGTACATTCTTACCGGCAGGTATTGTCATACTTCCTCGCGAAAGGATCGGCATATTTGTGGTGGTGGAGACCTGAATGCTCTTACGATCACGACCTGTCTATGCTGCCGAGCAGCTGCGTGGCTGAGGTACTGCATCTTCGTCCCGGCCATGTATGCAGCAGCCCGAGCTGCCCCAGCAAAAAGCCCAAACATGTTTTCGACGAGCAGACGAACCGTTGAGCTCGAGGTCGGCATCGTGTACAACCTCATTGGCTTTCAGGCTTGGGCTTGGTTTGACTAGCATGAGAGCTTGCTATAAGCCGTGGTCATTCCATTGGTTTCGGTTCTCGACTCCGTCAGCCTTTGCAGCCGGTCCGGTAGGGGAGTCTCTCGAAAATGCTGACCTTCTACCTGGCCACGGCTGGTACCACTGCAGCTGCAAGCGGCGTGAGCCTGGACCTCGAGCATCAAAAGTGCAAATGGCCTAGGTGCTTGGTTTGCTGTAAGCAAACCTATAGTATGGGAACGAGGTCTGTTGTGCCTTTCATTGACAAGTTCCTTTGCCAACGGCATATCACTAGCAGCAATTTTCCTTACAGCCGGAGCCTCAGTGTCGAGATGTGGTTGTAGGATTGTAGGAGATGTCAGTGAAGCAACACACAGCGAGTTGCGGTGGAGGTGCTGCAGATGTATGCTGGTTTCCTCCAGCGGCGTGACGCGATCCCCTGGACCTTCAGGTAGGATACTTAAGATTCTCTTCCTTGCGTTGCCAATCTGGAGTCCGCGCACCCAGAATCCAGCCGTCACTTTGGCCTCTACTGTACTGTACTGGCACACTCTATGACACTCTGTGTCGAGAGGCTGTGACAGGTCAGACAATCTTCCGAGCCCCATCTAGACTTAAAGACACCGGACTTTCCAGCAGTAGCTTCTCCTTCTTTGATTTTTGCACTCTTGCATGTGCGCTTCTTGCCTCGAATGGTTATTTTTGCCTTTCGGAGTTTTGTGTCAGATGCTGTCAACACTGCCAATGAAGTGTACCAGTGAGATGGCTGGCAAATGAGAGATCTCCACCAAGAATGTCGTGGATTATGATGCCCCGTCTTCTGCTGTCTCGCCGTGCATTGGAACTGCCAACACGTGGGCAAGATTTTGAATATTTTAGTCTCATCGATGAAAGCCAATGTACAAGGCTTGTCGTGTACGTGAGGCTTGCGCACCAGAAATGTAGCAGTCCAGGCACGCAGATAAGACAATGTGTAGTGCATGAGCACACAGTCATGCACACCACTGCAACCGTAATGAAAGGTGCTCACGACTGATTTGGTTTCGCACCTGCACACGCAACTACGGGGAAAGCCGTGCGGAGGGAGTCCATCCTTGCATATCGAGAGGTTGCCTACGCAAAAGAGTTGTCATGCCTCAGCAGAGATGGAAGAGAACAAGCAGAAGAATAAGAATAAGCAACAACATAATCTTGCACACGCCAGATCTTTGCAAAACTTCTCGGAGCGCGAGCTGTGAAGCCGATCTCCTGATCTCCCTAACTACGGCACAGCTGGTTCTTGGACAGCAGTTATGAGTGACGGTACTAGACGCGGCGCAGGTGGCTGAACGACGTGTCACCCTTTGCCCACGCTTTTGCCGCGATGATCTCCAGTGAGTTCACGGGCCTGGTGACGACGGTGGAAGCGACCGGTCTCGGAGCTTAGACACGATCCGCGATCCGCCCAGTCCCAAGAGTACACCTCTGGAAGTCCCTTGAGGTCAGGCAGCAGTGACTGTTTCCGGAGGTGATCGAGCCTCAGAGAGGGAATCAGACTCTCAGAGGGCTTGACAGAGTCGCCTCGCTCAGATTTGGCCGCAACAGTTCAACGTGGACCCTACCCGATTGGAGCACAACCTTCAGATGCTGGGAGTTGTGGCCGGCAGCATCTGGATCCTGGCCTTCATCCCCCTTTGGCTTCGGTGGCACCCGGGCCAGGAATTATCCCACATCTCCTAAATGCTAATTTCGTCAACTCTTGCAGCTAGGTACCGCGTGAAGACTTACCACCGTTGTTTCCGGCCAACCACGCGAGACAGACCCAGCGACGCCAGGGCCCCGAATGCCGGTCCCCAGCTTTGTGTTCTTGCTTGGTAGTCTTCCTACCAGGCTTTAGAAGCCCCGTCCTGGGTGAGCAGCCGAGCGCAGGCCGGCAGGGGGAAGCCGCACCGCAGGTCACCACATTGTGTTGCTTTGGCAGGGCTCCGCAGCCTTGATTTGGCAGGCTGGGAGAACGTTGAATATGTTGTGGACATGTTGCCCCGTGGACTCGACTCTGACAACTTGAAGGATCTCCGAGCGACGCTGCCCAACGGAGCCGGCCTGTACGATGGGTGCGCCAGCCGTTGCTGAAGCCGCAAAACGACTGCTTGTGAAGCTTCCGGGATCCGGATGGCAGGATAAGCGGCATTGTGCACACCGGCAGGCCCAGTCTGAAGTTCGAAGCTCAAGCATCCAAGCAGCCCGTTTTATTCGCAGGCCGTTGGCCGTGCTCGGCCCCTCCGGTTGCGGCAAAACGACCCTGTTGTCGTGCCTCTCTGGCGAGGTTCACAGCCTAGAGTCTAGAGTACAGACTCCTCGAGCTTGCAAGGTCAACGAATGAAGAGAGGGCGCAAGCTGTTTTTTGCGGAGTCACATGGAGCCCAGGTCACGAAGACGAAGTGGACTGGGTCGATCTATCTCAACAGGCCTTCTGTGTCCATCATGTCCCGAATCTTGGTGACAGCGATGCCGAAGCATCTTCTGCAGGCAGAAGATTGCGAGGAGGAAGCTTCGAAGAACTGCCAGCGCTTCAGACTTGCACGTAGGCGCCACTGAGTGGGGCTGGAGCGCGAAGTCGTGGCCGTAGGTCGGGTATGTGCGGCAAGACGATGCCCTCCATCCAGAGCTGACAGTGTCAGAGGCATGTGTCGCTTCTGTGGCTTGGACAGGGACAGCCGAAATAGCTGTGCAGGTGATCTCTTTTGTTTGGGTCTCGGCGGTCACTCTGCACACCGATGATGCTTTACGATGCTGCATTGCATTGACCTTGCACAAGGCGGTCGCCCTCCGAATGCCAAAAGCCAGTCGGAGAACAAGGCATGAGCTGAAGCCTCGGCTTCAACTTTCTGCGGCGAGCTGCAGTTGAAGGGACCTGCATCTCGTGCTTGACAGCGGTTCTTCACCGCTTCAAGGCGTGTCACCTGGACACTTCACCGTTTGGGGCTGGAGGCCTCGCAAGCCGCGTGAGCTGATCTCAGAATTTTGTGTTGTGATGGGAGTGGAGGCAGTGGCGAACTCGAAAATCGGCGGTCACAAGTTCCGCGGAATTTCGGGTGGTGAGAGACGACGCGCAGCAGTTGGGGTCGGAGACCTGCTTGCAAAGCTGATTCCGGTGGCACCAATTGTGTTGTGTTGATGTCAGAAAGGTTGAGCTCGCTGTGGCGCGCGGTGTTCTGGCGCTGGATGAACCCACCAGTGGCCACGTCCCCAAGAGTTAAAGCCTAGAGCGGAGACTGAGCCCTTGACATCCAGGCTTAGACAGCAGCAGCGCTTTGGCTTTGGGAAGCTTGTTGGCAGAACTGGCTGCGGAAGGCGCCGGGGTTGCCAGGCAGCCCGTAACGCCTTCAGCTTCCGAGCGCATGGTGTGAGTGTACCATGGCTGAGTGCAGTGGCAATACAGTCACGCCCTTTATGACAGATAAATGTGTTCGTGCAAAAATGCCTTTCCGACCAGAAAGATATTCACTGTCAGGGAAGATCTTCTGCAGTGAGTTGGTGCTGGTCGCATATGGCTGTGGTTCTGGCTGCACGCCACAAGCCATGGTTGTCAAGCCTTAGCCATGGTAGCAAGGCGTGCAGCACACTGCGGTTTGATCGATGGCTTCTCTTCGAATGGCGGATAAGTTCATGGAGCCGTAAGTAAGCTATGAATGCCGGCAGATCCCTCAGTTTTCAATTTTACAGGCGTCATTTTGCTGGCCTCCATGCACCAGCCTTCTCCCGACCTGCTCGCCGCTCTCTTAGGGGCTGCGGCTTGCGATCACACAGGTGTGCCATCGCTAGCCGCCCTGCTCAAGGCCTATTTTAGCTCCACAATGGTCCTGGGATCGCATGGCAGAGCCATGCTGGCTTCGATTTTCTACGAAAAGGAAAGCGATGTTTGTGCTGAGTTTGCTGAGCTGTCAGGTGGCTTACTTCGGACCATCCGAGCAGCTGCCGACGTATGCTTCGCCGTTTCGTGGCCTTGCTGCTTTAGTTCCTCCGTGCTGCACAGTGCGTGGCATTCTGCTACCTGAACTGCTCAGGCAAGCTGAATCCTGGGGTAAGCAGTGCATCGGACCGACCGCTGTCTGCAGTGTCTGAATGGCTGCAAATGGAAGAAAGCACAGTGCCCCGATTGACCACGGACAGGACCTTCTGTTGGACGTCATCTCCGGCTGCTCGGTTGCTGTTCCCATCAGAGTGCGGCGCAGGATTATAGATTCTGGGAGAATGTGGGGATGCGCCGAGGACCCCATCAAGACAAAGTGTTCGAGGGCTTCCACAAGCCCATGCCCTTGATCGAACTATCAGAGCACGTGCATGTTGATTGGACCTCAGCAGCATCCACAAGCTCCCAGAAGCCCAGGACGAAGCATGCAGATGATCTCCAAGATGACATTCAGAAAGTGCTGGCCTCAAAGTTGGCTAAGAGACGCACTAGCGGCACTACAAGCAGCCACGTTTCAATATGAGATTCAGGTGCTCATGATGGCCTCCGAGGACGACATGGAGGCTAAGCCAAAGCTCGCAAGAGGGCTGTGTGCTTGAATTGGGAAGAGGGCCGGTGAGAAGCCGTCCGTTGGGTCGTGCCTTCCGCACGTGTCACCAGACTCCTCTCCAGCACATCTTTTCAGGTCAAGTCGGCGGCAATGCCACCGGTTTGGGTGCAACTGCTGCGGTCCCAGGTGAAATCACAACCACTGCAGACCCAAGGTCTTATTCGGGTAAAGCACCAAGTCTAGCCGCTAATTAAAAACAAGATGTGTCTCGATCTTGTTGGAAGCAGTCAGGAGACAGCTGCTGCTGCGAGAGCTTCAGATCAGCAGGACCCCGGCGTCGCGACTCTTGTTTGCGAGAGCATGTTCGATGTGCCACTGGCTTCCAGGAGCCTGGCTGCCTACACCTACTTCGAGGTGCACAATGTAGCCGTGCTCTCTCTCTCTCTCTCCCTCTCTCTCTCTCTCTCTCTCTCTCTCTCTCTCTTCTATCTCTCTCTCTCTCTCTCTCTGTCTCTCTGTCTCTCTGTCTCTCTCTCTCGCTCTCTGTCTCTCTCTTCCTTCCCTCCTGATTGCTCACAAGCTCCGTCAGGCAACCATAGCCGGCGTGTTGCTTGGCACGACCGCGAGAGACTACCCAGCGAAAATGTGTTGGTGCATTCGCCGGAAAGTAAGAAGAGGCTACTCGGCGTGACCTACTACCAGATGTCCGACCGCCTGGCCGGAGTAATCAGGTGCACTGCCTGGCTCCGTGCATTTGTCGTGGACTGGCTTCCCCTCCTCCTTCTCCGCCGGACAAATTTGTTTGTGTGGTCGTGTATTTTGATACTCGAGACTAGTGCCTGGCAGTTTCTTCGTGCTTCTAACATGTTGCAGGGTTTTCCATCTCTCCGTCACGTTCCCTTCCTCCAGGCCAACTTCAAGCACTGCCGAATCATTTGTGTGCGCATCCGCAGCATTCAGACCCGGCCATTATCAGGCGAGAATCCCGTGCTAACATCCTATGCCAACGAGCTGCAACAAGTTACGGCACACCCGTGAGGGCGACAAGGGATGGTTTTTCCTCTCCATCGTTCGTGGCCAGAATCTCGTCGAGTTCACGAGGCTGCTCAAGAACAAGACAAAGAACTTGTTTCATTTTTGCCTTCAAAAATTCATCCACATGTAGGGTGGTTTCATGTTTAGTCATTCGAGCTTTGTGTCCGCTGTCTGTCCCGTCCGCTCGCTCTTATCTCTAAGCCCCGGCCCTCTCACAATTCATCCATGTTGCCAGTCGGCTTGGCCTCATCTTTGCCGTGCACTGCACCTTGGGAATGCAGGCCCAAAGAATCTGTCTCCAGCTGCATCCGCCGAGGCTTAAAAGGGCTCCTTTTCCTTTTTGCGGAGGCTCTTCAAGGTCTCCTAGCATGGCGAGATGGTTACACCAGCTACAGACGAGAACGCGCAGCAGGACGCACTCCTTCTGCCGGGTCGAAAGGAACACCAAATCCATCGTGTGGAGGATACTACTACACGGGCAGCTTCGTCATAGCGAAGGCATTTCTCCAAGCATTCTAACTCTGATGCTTTGCGTTCAGCGAGCTGCTTGGGATTGGGGCTTGTGGCCCACGGCAGTCAGGTGGTCGTTGATGCTATCCTCCTGAGAGCCGAAGCCCCGGTTCTGTCCTTGAGGGAGAGCTCCGTCAAAGACCACATCTTTTGAGGTTGGACCACCTGCCCTCATGTGTTTGGAAACTCAGTGCACAGACATGCGGAACCGATTGCATGATTGCATGCCGTAGTCCCGAGGCATAATTGTCTACCTCCTGGCCAGCATGCACCCAGGGAGAGAGGCATGGTGGAAAGCCGTGAACCCGTTGAGTTGGAGGAACCTTGTTATATGTATCGTCGCAGGCGGTCTGCTGTTTGGGCTTTTGCCTGGCCTCTTTCGTCGGAGCCTCATTCCAGTCTCATTCCGTTGCTCGCTCATCGGCAACTGCTTGTTTCCATGCCGGTTCAGCTCTCCGGTGGTTCAGGTCTCATCAACTTTCTGCCTGCTGCCTTAGAGCACAGAGGGTCACTGCACGTCCGTGGTGCAAAAGTATGCAAAAGTAGTGTTTGGCATTTTGCACTGCGGTTTCTTGATTTATGTCACGTCAGCTCGGACCATCATGTTGGCGTTGAACACTTTGTGCGCATGGCAGAGAACCTTCAAAAATCGAGTGCATCTGCAACGGCCGATGCCTCAATGGAGAGCAGCATCACACGATCATGGGACCAACATCAACACTCTGCAGTGACTTCTCCATGCGTGAGAAAGCTGATCCGATCTTTCCGAAGTCTTTTCGCCGCGGCCCTTCGGTTTTTGCGGGCTCACTGGACCCAGAAGAGCAGCCCCCTGCCAAACCCCTTTGGACTTCTGGGCCTTTCCGGGGTGTGGAAGCGGCTGCGGAGAAGACTTCCCACGGTGCGGTCGCAAAGTCTAAACTTGCGCCTATCGGGAAGTATCGCAGACCTCACATCGCTCGCGGCTTCTCGATGGAGTCTTTGTCAATTTCTGCAGCTTCAGTTGTTTCACGCTGGAGCTGCAAGATGCAAAGGCCTTGCGTTGGGAGCTACTGCTCCAAGATCCGGAGTGGTGCGGCAGCCATGCTTTGTCAGGTGCATCTCTGCATGCAGAGACCAGACTGACCACACAGAGGTACTTCCCCTGGCAGTGCTTCTGATCCTGATTTTCTTGCTGGCCTGCCTGCCACGCTTCGAAGATTGTGGACCAGGGTCGGGTGTTCAGAGGAAAGACGGCGGATGACAAATAACTAGATTCTGGATTGTGGCTTCAACACATTTGACGAGCCAAGGATGTAACTGTGCAGGACAATCTGACATGCAAAAAAAGCATTGCCCTCCCCCTACCCAGATTGGTGGACCACTGCTGGCCTCCGGCAACGATGCTGGCTCCTCGAAGTCCACAGCTGGAGCAGCAGCTTACGTGTGTGCAGTCGAGGTGCTTCGGAACATCTCGATCTTCAGGGCGTCATTTAACATGGTGGCTGCCAACGAGATGCGCGGCCTAGACTTCGTGCCATGGCCTCAGAGTCTGAGGCTGGCTATGACCGAAGGGAGAGAGCGTAGGGCTGCCACAGAGCTTTCTGAGGTTCGATCCCGAGGGTGTGGTCACCACGCTCGGCAGCCGCTCTGGCGAGGCAAGATGCTGCTCTGCTGCTCTTCATACTGCACCCCACAAGACGGCTGCAGAGGATTGGATGACGGATTTGGGCATCAGGGACAACCCCATCGGCGAGGAAGTCGGCAACGCCCTGACTGAGAGCTTTGTTGGGGCGCCCTTGCAGCATTTCATGGACTGCTGAGGTTGGCTCCTGGGTTGGTCCTTCTTTTACATTCTGGTCGCCTGGGCGGTGCTGGCTGCACGATCGGCCTCACACCCAGAGTGACCTAACACTCGTAGCATTGACAGCTCGAGCGCAGTATGAGTCAGGACTGCTCCAAGATTTCTGTTTCCCTGGAGAAGTTAAGCTTGTGAGGTCACTTCTTCCGATTTCTCGCTGCTTTCACTTTTCTGGCGCAGTGTCGCTTGCTGGCAGTACCTGACATGCCGAGAGGGAATCTGAGTGACAACAGAGCCGCGTCTTCCTGTCTCAGGGAAATGCGATAATTTCTGCCGAGCAGCCGCAAGGAAAGCAGCTAGGACACCGGGGAATGGAACAGCCTGCCAGCTTGACCTGGATGTGAAGGTTTTGATTTATGTAAAGAGTTGTGGACAAGGACGCCGGCGAAGCACTGCAAGCGAATGAATGTCAGCATGGCAAGATTTCATCTCTTCGCATGTCCATGGACTGACGCTGAGCTCGTCTCGAAGGGTCAGTCAACAGTGTACAGTTGAGCAGAGCACAGGGCACTGGACTTGTTGTTTCTCTAGTTGCCGTCGCGCTGGCACGCTGACGTGTCAGCACAGACGCTTGAGCTGCTTTGCATACCCAATGCAAAGCACTTCGCGCAGTCTGCACGAACCAAGTTTTCGGGGGCAGGTATCCTTTGAGATCTGCAGATAACGACTTGATTCAGAGTCTGAAAGAATCTGACTTGTTAATAGCCTTGGGGCGGCGATGGCGCCGCTCCACGGAACTAGTCCGGCACACATTTTTCATGGCGGAAGCGAAGCAGCGAAGCTCATGTGGACAGACTTGAAAACAAAGCACCGACTCTTGGGCTTGCCGAAGCGGCATTGGATTGAGATCCGCTTCCGTTGCATTTTGGCCTTGGCTCTTCGCAAAGCGATCAGCGCCTAGGCTTGCCCCAAGCCGCAAGACACGGCTTAGCAAGTGCCACAGTCTGAAGCTTTTTGTTTTGACAGATCAGAGGACAACGCCAGAGGCGTTGCTGGCCAAATCGGGATCGAAGAAACACTGACATTCAGGGGACGTTCTCTGCGCAGGCATGAAATTGGATTCTACATTCCCAAGAACGTACCAAAGGAGCTGAAACTGGGGCTTCGCGCTGGGGTTGCGGGAGAAGTTGAGGATTCATGCACCAGCAGCGTGTAAGGAGTATCTCTACCACTCAATGCCACTTTGAGAATCTAGGTGTATTTCCAGCTTCGGGACGAGTCCACCTCACCCCCGACTGGACCAGCTTTCCGAAAGGGTGTGGCAAATGCTAACCAGACGGATGCAACATTTAAAATGTCTTGGAAACTTTGGTTGCTCGAAGACTACAACCCCCCGCATTTTGCTTGCGAGCGTCTCGCGCGAGAAGTCCACAGACGGCTTGAAGCAGCGGTCCATCAGCAAGAAACCGATAGGTAATGCCTAATGCATGATAGATTCCAAAATTTGAGGTCCATCGATTGCCGATAGCAATAGCACAGAATGGCACCGTCACCATGGCTGAGCGTGCTAACTCCATCCCTGGCAGCGTTGGCTGGCGTTGCCTTGGGCATCTTCCTGGAGCGGTACCGCCGGGCGAAGGGAAGCCGGCAGTCTTCGCGAGATGTTGTGAACTCGGGCGAAGAGCTTCGGGTGGAGCGAAGGGAACTAGAGGCAGCTGTGGCTGCTTGCCTGGAGGCAGCCGGGGCCCCTAAGCCCAAGGCCAGCCTGGTGGCCAGAGTCCTGGTGGCTGCAGATTGCCGTGGCATCCCATCTCATGGGGTCAACCGCACAGAGATGTACTGTGGAGAACTGCGGGCAGGACTCCGCCGGCGTCTGGCTGTACTGCTGAACTCACTTTTCCACGTGCTGTTTCAGCGCAGGACTTATCAACCCGGATGCGATTCCTCGCCTCTCTTCGGAGACGGTGAGCACTGCTAATGTAGATGGGCAGAACGGCTTGGGCGCTGTGGTCTCGGAGTTTGCCATGCAACTCTGCATACGCAAGGCAAAGGCTTCAGGCATAGGACTTGTGGTGTGCCACAGCAGCAACCATTTTGGAATTGCAGGGTTCTGGTCCGAGCTTGCGTTGAAAGAAGGTCTGATTGGCTTTGCATTCACGAACACGAGTCCTTTCTTGGTCCCCACTCGAGCATGCCGACGTGCAGGGGGAACAAATCCAATCTCCTGCTACTGTCCTGGCACACTTGATAGTTTTCAGTTGGATATGGCAACTTCAACAGTGCCAGTGGGGAAGATTGAAGTTTGTCATCGCAAGGAGCAGGAAATTCCGCCTGGCTGGGGCGTGGACAGAGCTGGGGCTCCGACAACTAACCCGACTGAGGTGCTTGCTGGTGGAGGCCTCACTCCCGTCGGGGGCCTTGAAGAAACTGCTGGGTATAAAGGCTACGGCTTGAACATGATGGTTGAGATCCTTTGTGCGGTTTTGAGCGGCTGCAAAGATGTCGGTCCGGACGTTCCGCCCTGGAGAGTGGATCGAGGCCGGCCTGTGGACTATGGACACTGCTTCATGTGCATCGACCCAGAGAAAATTCTGCCAGAAGGCGAGTTTCAGGCAAAGCTCAGTGCCTATTTGGCTCGGATGCGCGGCCTCTCCGCAGCTGACGCCGCACTGCCCGTGCTGGTCCCTGGTGACCCCGAGAGCGCGGAAGAGCTGGCAGCCGAGAAGCATGGCGTCCGACTCAACATCCAGGTGGCACACGGACTGCGCAAGTTAGCTCAAGACCTGGGCTGCTTGCAGACCATGCCAGCGCCGATCCGCAACCTGCCGCAGAACGTGATGGCACCAAGGCACCCTCACACCGTTTAGCCAAAAAGTGTGCGCAGCGGGAGTTGGGGGTCCGTTTGTCTTTCGCTTGACATGAGCACTAGCAGCGGACTTTACCTGTGGCCCGACTGGTCAGAATCACGCGACCATGAACTGATGCTACAGGCCACACGGACCCCACCGCTAGTAGCGGAATGCCATCTGTGCCATCTATACTAATATACTATACCTCGCCAATGTCGGAATGGGCATGCAGCATAAGCCAGCAGCTAGTCGTAAAAGCATGCAGTGTCGAAAGATGCTTGGATCCTGCTTCTTCCATATAGAGATAAATGCAGCGTGTGCTGGTGCTGCTATGGTTCTCCGCCACAAGCGTGGAGACGACCTTGCCAGCGACGGATCTTGATGCAGCTCTACGCAAGGACCGCCAAGATCTCAGATCACTGCCTGATCGAATCCTTGGACACGAGCCGATCAGGAGTTCGACAAGGAGAGCTGCCCCGGTGCTGCGGGCGAAGCCTCGTGGTTGCAGCGCAGCGCTCGTCGGAAAAGTCTCCAGGCAGGGCTGGTGCTCCTGTAGTGCTGTCTGCCCAGATGCGATGCTACTCGTAGGAGCTGTACGAGGGCTCGGAGACTCGTCAGAATGCCTCAGCGGCCCTCAGCGAGGACAAGCAGTACTGCGACTCCCACACGGGTGTCTTGCAGCAATGGCTCACACAGCAGGGTTCCGTGATTCGCTCGAAGATGTTGAGATGCTACACAAAAAAGGTCGTGACAGCAGGTGACTCAGACGTGTGATTGCGGCTTTTGCTGGGAGCCGAGGTGGAAGCTGTCGCTTCTGGAGCTGCTCAGCATCCCGCGGCCCCACTATGTGTACAGCCTACCAATGTCTCTGCAAGCCCGGATTCTGCGCTGTTGACGGCGTTTGCAAGGAGCGTACAGCTCACGCTGTGGACACGTGCGGCAGGCAAACAGGAGGAAGCTGTACACTGTGGGGGTGCGCCTCCTATCGCGGGCCGGTGGAGTGCGTGAACCAGGAATGTCTTTGCAAAGAGGGATATTGCAGCGCCGGCGATGGCACTTGCAAGAAGCCCAAGCCAGCGATCAAAGCTCGCGTGGCAGCTGTGAACTCCAGACAGCCTTTCTTCCCAGACTCACAGGCACTTTCCCAGCTTTTCTGGCATGCTCTTTGTTTTTCAAGAGGATCTAGACCCACTAGATAAGGCCCAGCTCTTCTGCGAAACCTCTCAGACTCAGGCCCACGTGCGCACTGGAATTTGCTTCAGTGGTGGGGGCTCCCGCGCGCTCTCTGTGACCCTCGGAGTGCTGCGTGCTTTGGAGAGCTTGCAGCTCATACCTCACATTGATGCTATATCGAGTGTTTCCGGTGGAACATGGGCGTCTTCCATCTACATGTTTGCAAAGGATGTCTCGGTCAAGGATGAAGGGCATGAAACCTGATTCGACACATGCGTTCTCTTAAAACTCTGCGTCTTTGGTGCAGAGCGCGCTTCAGGCTTAAGCCAGCTGGGGAACTGTTCTGCAGGAGTTGCTTGGAGAGGACACGGTTCCGAACGACTTGACCATGGACCTCCTGGAACGTGAACCTCCACGACTCGGCGCAGCTTGGGAGGGAAGAAGTCGATCGTGTAGCGTTTGTCTAATGTCTAGCAGCTGTGACTCCAATTGATGCTACATCGGCGGTTGATGCAGCTTGCAGAAGTAAGGATGTCGCCACCACCAGCATCAACATCTTCTGGACCATCGTGGGCAAATGGGTGCCGCCCTTGTCTCCGAGCTTGTGTCGGCTCGTCGGAGCCCGCTTGCGCACAAGGCACATGGGAAATCGAATCCGCGCGATATGTGGATTGACGTCTACGCCAAAACCGTCCTCGAGCCTTTCGGCCTGGCAAATAGGCCGGGGAGACAAGAGCTAGAGCTGGGGTCACTGGGGCCCCTGCAGCTTTGTGATCAAAGCCTGCAGGAGCCAGTTCATGGCCGCAGATGAAGCGAGCCTGCGGCGAATCCTTGCTGAAAACCCAAGCCTACAGCGGGAGCAGTTTCTGGTTGGGAGCCGAGCTGACTGGAGCCGTGAGTGGAGTAGACTCCACTCTGCGTCTGTCAGATCCCGAACCCATTGCGTCCAAAGACGTCGCGGCCTTAAAGCTTCCGCGTGTGCGTTTCGCCGAGCAAGACCAACTTTGTCAGATATATCATGGGTGGGACTATTCTCGCACCGGTTGGCTTGGAAGCCACGGAAAGGAGTGCTGTGTTGGCGGCTGAGATTCTGAAGAGAATTGCAGACGTCACGTCACGCCGCCTGAACAAGACGACGCAAGCACCTGCTGCAAGGAATCTGCAGATGTCTCCAGACTACACTGGCTCTCCATTCTATCCGGAGGAGCTCGCAAGAACTAGTACGTTGCTACTGCTAGCTCCAACTGCAAAATGGATCGAGAGTGACAAGAAGCAAACTGGATTCCACCTTTGCCACAGGACAAGGTTGTCTCCTACGACGGCAAGGATACTCGGGAGTTCCTTCTCGGTGGTGGCTTGGTCGTGCCCAGCTCAAAGTGTGGCTGCATGTGCATGACTGAATCTGTTTTTGGAGACTCCGCCTTCTAGGAGAGCTTTGCCTTCGGTGGCTCTGCGCCCATCTCCGCAACGAGCCAAGCATGCGCCAAAGCAGCTCCGGCTCTTGGGCTCACAGACTGGTTGAATGCCCAGGAAAATGGGCAGATGGGAGGAAGCCAAGTTAGCATGGAGGCCCTTTTCCTTGTTCCTTGAATAGATACCTGTTTTTCAGAGGATGTTGCTTCGGATGCATTTCATTTCGAATGTCGGGGAGTCTGGGAGGCACCGCCGTCGGCATTCAGCCTCGCTGATGCAGTCGGGATCAGCAGCGCTGCCTTTGCATCAGTGCTGGTGACTGAAACTTGGCTGCGCTAAAGGAGCCCGGGTTTCCATTTTCGCGAGGACGCCATGTCGCACCTGCTTTAAATGACAGGCCTCTGGCTGGATGCACCTCTTCGCGCAACACGCACCTCGGGCACGTGCATGCTCTTGCTACTTACTTTGGGAGCAAGATGCAGCTCCGAGGCCCAAGAATATCTTCCGACCAGAGACTACTGGCCAGTGACCTCCGTCCTCTTCAAAGAGCGGAGGTGCCCCAAACTTTGCAAGTACCTGCAGTGATTTGCTTTAAAGCGCCAGCGGAGGCCGGCCATGAAGCACGTCTTGGGGGTGCGGTCCCAAGGATTTTTCTTGGGAGAGATCGTGCGATACTCGGACCTCGGACGCCGTGGCAGGATGGCGCTGAGACGGACAACACGGGCATGTCGCTGGACCAAGTTGGAAGGGTAGCGGCGCAGAGTTCGGCTCATGTCCTGCCCTGAGGATGGCGCTGCTGCAGCGAAGGGCAACCAAAATCGTCGTCGTTCACAACACCAACGTTGAGCTCTCGGAGGACTTCCGACGGCAGTTTGATTTGACGATGGAATCGGTGTGGAGAGAGATGCTTTGTTCAGCCTGCTACAGGAAATAGATTTCTGTGGAAGTTTGTTCGACATCACACAACTCGCGCTTCACGGCAAAGTGTGCCAGCCATGCTTGACGGAGCACTTCACGGACGATGCGGTCGGTTCAGCACGAAGCCGCAGGTATCGAATGACTTGCTCGACAAGTTCGGGTGCCCTCCTCACCCGAGCTTGGGGAACGGATCGCCAGCAGCTGCGTGCCGTTTTGACTCTGTTACAAACTTGCAAAGAATAGATTGGAATAGATGCCGCACGCTCGGGTCAAGCATCCGCCATTTTGGCCTGCACACATTAGCGAGATCTCCCATGCACCAGCCACGGCAACCGATAGTCAGCTTGGGGACACTCAAGCTCTGCTGTTCATGCCAGGTGAACCCAATAACTCAAAAGCCGAGAATCCTAAACATGTACAGAATTTTCGAAAGAACCTAACCCACAAGGCCCAGGACCCACTCAACGGAACACCTCGGAGCATTGGGATTCAGGGCTTCAGGGTAAGTATTGTTACAATAGTGAATGTGATTGTGATGATCGTTGTTGCTGTTGTTGTTGTTGTTGTTGTTGTTGTTGTTGTTGTTGTTGTTGTTGTTGTTGTTGTTGTTGTTGTCGTCGTCGTAAGCCTCTCGGCTCAGGAAAGGTCAGGCTAGTACAGTTGCCTTTTTCCTTTCTTGCCATGGCATTTGTCAGCGCCTGAGCAGTCCCGGTCCCAAGTCCGGGAGGGAGTATTAGATTTACAGCTCTCTAACATCTCCCAGAGGTGAGGGTTGTCGGTATTGCGAAGCCGACAGGAGCCGTACTCAACATGAGTGCTGCGAAACAGCCTAGTGGTTCGACCAAGCATCAGCCCGTTCCTAAAGGGAAGGGTAAACGCTCTTATCAAAGGGCAGCACGTAAAGCTCTGCTTGAAGGTAGTGCGGTCTACAAGGGAAGGACGATGTCGTCAACAGAGCTTGGAGTTGCTCCGGCACATGTAAAGCCCACCAATCCCGGCAGAAGGACTCGGCCTTCAAAATTTACAGAAGATAAGAATCTCAGCTATCTATCCTGGAACGCAGGATCTCTCACAACAGCAGTTTGGGAAGAGTTACTCTCCGTACTGCAAAGTGCCGCATTTCAGGATGTGAAGCTGGTAGCAATTCAGGAAACACACTGGAGGGGCTCATGGCAATTCAGCAAGTCAGGTTGGCACGTGATCAGCTCTGGTTCCACAGGGGAGAAGGGAGCCGGGGTCCTCATAATGGTGCACTCCACGCTGTGCAAGTCACAGGATCTTCGCTACAACGAGGTTGTTCCAGGAAGAGTTCTCCAGGTCCGGGTGCCGAGCAACGGCATCTCACTGGACGTCTTCAGCTGCTATCAATACGTTTGGCGCTCTAAGGAGACAGTCGCTCAGAATAAGGAAACCCGGAAGCAGACCCTTCACGCCCTAAGTAAGTCCATCCGAGCTGTTCCCAATCGCAACACTCTCCTTGTGCTAGGAGATTTTAACTCCTCGCTCAAAACCGACAACAAACACGTAGGGCCATGCACGATCCAGGCTTGCAGACTCGGGCATCGCGGATCTAAGGATCTCCAGACCCTACTGTCGGAGCACCAGCTAGTCGCAACCAACACTTGGGGAGTGCATAGACCAGCCACCCACGAACAAGGCAACTCTGTTTCACAGATTGACTTCTCGTTTGTCAGGATTGCACAGTCCCAAGGCCCTGCCAGGTTTTGCCGGCCACTAAGGACCTTCCCAGTGGCATCCTGGAGGGATGGTAGTAGGCATTTCCCCCTTCTTGGTAAACTGAGGCACAGCAGGAGATACTCCGCCCAAGCCTCAAAACCCTATGACCAGCAGGCAATGGAGGACTGCTACAGACACCGTTCCCCGAAAATACAGGCATTTGCCAGGGAGGTAGACTCCCTCCTTCAGGATCATCCCCAAACCTGGCAGAGTCTCCATCAAGCAATGAACTCGGCCCTCGCGACTCACTTTCCCAAGAAGAAAGGGAGCAGCACAAAGTTCAGATCTCAGCATTTGGGCAGAGCGCACAGTGTTGCGCTCACTCCCAATGTCAGTCAAGGTCTTAGCAGAGTTCTTGCCGGAGTTGCAGGTCCGAATGGTATTTCGCTGCTGGCTGTCGCTGTCTCAGCAAAGTGCACAGGCGAGGGTAGCAAAGCGTCAGAAGCAGGAAAGGCGACGACAGGAAATAGATGAACAACTCGAGCAGGCAGAGCTTAAATCCAAGCAAGACGGGAGTCATTCCCTCTACAAGGTGATCAAGCGCTTCCGGTCGGGGAGGCCTCAGGAAAGAGTTCAGCTACGTGACTCAGAGGGTCGCTTCCTAACAGCCAAGGAAGAACGTAGACAATTAGAGGAATACTCCATTGAACTGTTTGGAGCAGGGGACGACTTCCCGCTCACAGGGATACAAGGCAGCCTGCACATCACCGAGCAAGAAGTTCAAGAACAGCTAGGCACTATAAAGCTTGGCAAAGCAGTTCCTAAAGAAAGTCCTCCCATAGTAGCTTGGCGCTCCCTAGGCCCCAACGCTATTCGGCTCATCTCGGACACTCTCAATAGGGAAGTCACTGCAGGAAGGCTTTCGGACAGCGTCACCTCGTCACAGATCTCTTGGCTCCCAAAGCCCCCCAAGAAGCCAGATAAGCCAACATCACTCCGTCCGATCGGGGTGATAGCACCTGAGGGCAAGGTCCTGGCAGGACTTGTGAGGCAGAGACTCAAGTCCACCCTCCATCAAGCAATGCAAGGAGTCTCTCAGTTTGGCTTCGTACCAGGTAGGGGCACAGAGGAGGCGATCTGCAAGGCCCTCACACATGTGGATCAGGCCAGGTTCAGGCAGGCCCTTACAACTAGAGCGGCTGGTAAGGGACAACAGGGGCTCAAGCTCAGGGGCAGTCTCACGATGAGCGTTGACATGAGCAAAGCTTTTGACACTGTGGACAGGCTACGATTAAGAGAAGCCCTGGAAGCTGAACAAGCAGACCCTCTTCTTATAGAGGTGGTGGGCCATCTCCACATCAAAGCCTTGTACAAGATGACAGCCAGCGATCAGAGCTTTGAGATAGCCACACGCAGGGGAATCAAGCAGGGATGCAAGCTTGCACCTTCCCTATTCGCCTTTGCATCCGGGCTTCTCTTTAGGAAGCTCTCTGGAAAAATCAGCCCCCCCGAACTAGTTAAACTTCTCACCATGTATGCGGATGATAGCTTGATTCAGTCGCATTTCGAGTCTGAGTCTGGCCTCATTACAGCACTAGGGTACTGCGACCTTCTTCTGGATCAATTGGTTGAACTTGGGTTCAAGGTCAATCCGTCCAAGTCAGCAATACTGCTGCAGCTACAAGGAGGTTCAGCCTCGACAATTAGGAAAAAGCTATTTCGCCAGGTAGATGGAGAGAAGTTTGTGGAACTCCCTTCGGGCAAGTTGATATCGCTGCGGTACCAGGTCCCATACCTGGGGGTCATTCTTTCTTATCATGACTACGAAATGAAGACCCTTAAACATCGGCTGTCATCCAGTAAGCTAGCAATGTCAGAAGTCGCCCATGCAGTTAGGAACCATCGAGTCCTATCAGACAGACGTCGTCTGTCAATTTGGACAATAACTGCGTGGGCCTCTGCTCTGTATGCCCTTCACGTGGTAGGACTGACACAGCAGGGATTGCAGAAGCTCCATTCACACATGATGTACCAACTTCGGTTTGTCCTGCGGAGCTACTCCCAGGAAACGAAGGAATCCAACCAGGAGTTACTCCGGAGAGTACGGATTCCTCACGTGAAGGAGCAGCTGCAAAAGAGGCTGACACAGTTCATTAAGAGACAGCAACACTCAGATCCTCAGCTCCTCCCACACTACAAGCTGCGCGCTGAGGCAATCAGCCAGGCTCTGGAAGGCCTTGCCATTGACTTCTCCTCGCAATCAGTAGAGGATAAGATCCTGACCTGCGGCGAGTGTGGAGCATGTCTCTCTGGTACCGGGGCACTCCGTCGCCACCTGCAGAAGGCCCACCCAGACTCGCAGCAAAGCTTGAAAGGACCCAAATTTGACCCTATTTTGCATTCAATGCCAGGGTCAGCAACTTGCATCGCCTGTAGAGCAACATTCCGAACAGTGTTCTCTCTGCGCAAACACGTCGAAGCATCTACATGCCCTCGGGTAGAGCTCTTGCTTCGACAGCAGGAAGAGCTCCCTCTAGAAGCCCAGAACCGGATTTCACTTACAGAAAGTCTACAGTCTGATGCTCAGGAAAATCCAGAAGGAGCAGCTCGAAATCCGGTGTTCCATGATTACCTGATGGAGCACTGTGCACTCTGCGGTCAGGTCCTTGTTGGTCAGAAAGGAGCCAAACAGCACCTAAACAAGCAGCATCCTGAAGTGATGGCCAAGCTTGAGAAAACTCTCCAACCAAGACTTGCTCAGTTCAAGGTCTTCTTTCACAAAGGAGATAGCTGTCGTTATTGCAAACTCCGTGTGGATGCCCCGGGTAGACATGCTCAGCAGTGCGTTCCACTACTGCAGGTGCACGTACTGCAGGAGGTAGCGCGTCAGCAGCTCAGTAAGCAGCCCCGAGAATATACTCGAGCAAGGCCCACGACCTCGGCGAAGACAGCCACAAAGAAGCCCACAGATTCAATGCCAGGTATTCCCCTTCCCGAATTTAGACTGGAAGGCTTTCTCCTGCTAGCCAACACTCGCAACCACTGCTATGCCAACTCAGGTCTACAGTGTCTGCACTGGCTATCTGATCCCACAGAGGCGCCTTTTCACGAGGCATCTCGGATCAGTCTACTCGCGAGAATAACCCCTGAACACAGAGTCTTCTCGGAGCTCACCACGGGCTGGCTCTTTGACGGAGGACAGCATGATTCTGCAGAGTTCCTGCAGCAAGTGTTTCGGAATCTCTCTGCATCAAAATTTGGACAGTGGGAAACTCGAGCATCAGTTCCAGAGGGTGTGATAGTCGATGAAGAAGGGGGTTCTCCCATTCATCTCGCCACGGCGATCAAGCCCAACCTGCAGGACATGCTAGTGGCATGGTCGTCTCAGGAGCGCTCATGTGCTCTCATAGAAGCTGCACAACAGGTGTGCTTAGCCTTACCGAGATTTGCAGGTGAAGCAAAGGATCACAACTGCATTGCCAT